GCTTTTAAAAGATAGTGAAGATTGCTTGTCAACAATCTTTTCATCGGAGTTTATATTATAGAATGTCAGTGACTGAAATTTTTAAGATGTTTCTTCAGCTCATTTTTTTTTTTCTTAAAGTGTTCTTCTCAATTTTGCTATGGACCAAAAAAACCAGTGGTATTTTGGGACTGTATCCATTTATACATAGTTTGTAAGCGTTCAAACCACCTGGAATTCATCGTCAACTTAATGCTGCGATCTACGACCATTCGTGTGAAGTCTCTTCAATTCGCGTGTGATTGCTGAAGTGTGTGGAAGTCTTGAGCAATGGACTGTTTTCGACTCATTGTCTTCCACTCGTGGACGGTTTATTTTTTTCCGGGAAAGTAGAAATGACCTTACTTACCAAAGGACTATGCTGATTGTTATTATCTCACCTCCTAATAAGCAACTCCATGTGGCAGTCTGAAAACGAAGTATTATCTTTCAGTTGATTTCTCTGTAACAGTCACTGATTTTTAGAATTACTTTCTTTGGCATTTCTGTAATTGTAATTGTTAACCTCTTAATCCTTATCCTCCTGTATCATTTTACATCAACAATTTTGATCTCATCCTTTTCTTTTCCATCCCTCTTCTCTCTCAAAATTGTTTTAGTTGAAATAAAATATAATAAAAAATCCAAAAAAAAAAATTAAAAATCCAAAAAAAAAAATAACTCCTCGTTTCCTTATCCCTTTTCCTCTCCTTGTTTGTCCCAAATCCTCTCCTTAACCTTTTTCCTCTCCCTATCCTCTCCCCTCCCCCGGGTCTTATTGAAAAATAAGGCCCACCAAATGGTCTTCTAAGAGCAATAGAGTTTTGAAACTCAGCCTTTCTTTTTCAGCTTAGCACACCGATTACCTGAGCAGTGACACGGTAAGTACTCACATAGTACTTTTGTATTGTACCTTTTCTCGGTACGTCTTTTGTCGGTGGGAATAACTGATAAGTGGTGCTTTCAGGTTACTCAAAATTAATCCGGGGCTCCACAACTTCTTTCATTAACCTAGTTCCGAGATGCGTTCAGCCGTCTATGAAGTAAGGTGAGGTTGGGTAACTGGGCGGTGGGGTAACTGGGCAGTATCCTCTGTATTTCTACCATATTAGTGCAAAAGTTGTTTTCACCGTTGGCATACCTTCATTATGACGTAAACCATCTAGAACATGTAAACATAACTTTAAAAAAAAATTTTATGGTGAATGGTGAAGTGCCGAAAATTGGACAGCTTTTTTTTCAAAACAACGCCGGAGGTGGTCCCGAAAAGAGCCTCATATCTCACTCCCAGCAAGTATTTTATTCAACTTTGACAATTCTTCTTCATGTATGATGTATTTGTGTAATGCGTGAGTAATTACAACGTAATTGGATGAAAATACTGGCTGCAAAGGGTTGATGCCCAGTTACCTTGAAAATTTTCCCTTTGTGGGGTAACTGGGCACCCACCCCAAGGTAACTGGGCAGGTGGCAGTGGTGGCACCTGCCCAGTTACCCATTGCAAGGTTGCTGTGCTTCGGTGTTTGTTTACTTCTGAAAATGTCAAAACTAATTGACTATTGTGGACTTTTAAGTGCCAAAGACCAATAATCAGGGTTCCCAGCACACTAAACTTCTAACTTAAGTCAATTATAGCATAACTTAAGCATTACTTAATTACATTTTTGCCGCTAACTGTTATGACCTCACTTTTAACGACTTAAATAAATTCAAATGAAATTCTCTGAAACCCTCATGAGAAGGACATTCTTTTCTGGTCAATGAGAATTACAAATAATGCCCCCCTTAAAAATTAAGGGAACTTTTTGGCGCCTGACTCTATCCCAGATCAGCCTTGCGGCTTAATTTTTTTTCATTTTTTAAAAATGTATCATGCTTAATCTCACTAAAAGTGGCCAAACAGTGTCCTGGTATACAATACTACTTTATAAGTAGTAATACAGAAAGTTCTAAGCATTTATCTACAAGGAAACAATTTTTTTTTACCGTTATTCAATTCTCAGATTTGAGGGTTTTTTTGCCGCTAACTGTTACGACATCATTCTTAACCACTTAAACATGTTTATATACATTCAAATGACATTTTCTTAAACCTTCATGAGCAGGACATCACTTTCTGGCCAATGAGAATTAAAAATAATGCCCCCCTCAAAAATTAAGGGGGGGTAGTCCAGTTACCCCACGACGTTGGGTAACTGGGTGAAAAAAACGGGAAATTTTTGAAACTTCGTGGGAAAAAATTGAAAGATGAAATTCGACTTTTGACTCTTCCTACATTTAGACAAGGTGTTGTACTTACTAAAAAAAATTTAAAAGTAGCCTCCACTGTCAATATAATGATGGGAAAAAAATCATGAAGTTGAAATTTTGACATTTTTCTCCGAACTCCTGCCCAGTTACCCAACCTCACCTTACATTCATTATTTGCCCAAGTCTTATGCCCCTCATAATAACATTCAAGTTAAATTACTTGCATACCGTGTTGTTTATCACCTGCCATGTATTTCTCATAGATTGCTCCTAGACAAACTCAGGAGAAAAGTTTTTTTCAAACACAATGTTGTACCTGACTTTTTAATAAATCTTTGAAATGAAGTTACCTAGTTCGTTCTAAAATCATTTTTTTCCTGATTCCGAAGAGAGTTCAAAATACTTTGCCGAGGTGCACGGCTTATCTTTCTTTTTGAGTTCTGAAGTTGGAGGATCGGCTACAACGTTGAAAAACTTGAGCTGTCTTAAAATTTTCATTCAATGCGCAAAACGAAAATTTTATTTTGTTAATGAAAGGTTCAAACCTTTAACAGATTTATTGTCCGTACGATACTGTTAAGAAACTCCCAAGAAATTGCCACAAATTTGTTCCAACCTAGGTAGGTATGCAAGCAAGCAAAGAAAGAAGAGAAAAATCTAACTTGAAATCTAATATTACCAACAATAGATTTTTTATTTATATTGGCTTACAACATTAGTCCTTCAAAATCAGGCTTCCAAATGGCGTCGTTGTTTTAATGGTACTTGGGATCTTTTCCCTGCAATCTATGTTGTGGTAGGGATTAAAAGCTGTTATATTAGCCTCGCAGTCACATTGTCTTTTGCGATAAATGCATGAATAGAAGTGCCACATTCTTGTTTTTGGATTCCTATGATCTCAAGTCATTATGATTCACCACTTTATTCAATCAGGTTAAGAAGAAAGTTGCACTGAATACAGTACAAAGTAAAGAAGGGACCATTAGGTCAAATGTGGGTGTACAATATTAACCTCGTGGAAAACCAATCATGTTCGTAGCGATGCAGCTTCAGTGGAGTTTCCTTGCGTACCTTCAAAATTGAATCGAGACAAGCGGAAGTCCATGAAGTCAATTTTTCAGGAGAAGCAAATACTTCCTGTAGGATAAACACTTCGAACAAAAAAAACTGAAAAATATTTCCTATCGGGGAGGCTTGTCCCGATTGTGCCAAGAATATATGGAACCTGCTTTTTTGGAAACTTTTTAGTTTTGATTTGAACTTCTGCCCTTTTCGCAACTGGGGAAGAATTGATCCCAAAAGAAAAAGAAATGAAGTCCAAGACTTCATGGCCCTTTTCGCATGTTACCAATATTTCCTTTCCCTATTAATCAACGTCAAAATGATGGGCTTCCGCCATTCTTTGCAGTGTCGATGTATATACATTAGAGGAGTCCAACAATGCAAGAAAGTCGATTTTGACAAATTTGGACGTCCACCCTTTTCGCATATTTTGATTCAATTGATTTCACGTAGTTAAGGCCTTTTCCTGTTGATCTCTGGATTGAGTTCTTCCACTATGACCATCCTTTCAATGAATACTTGGGAAAGTGTTGTCGGAAGAAGTTAGATGTGGGATAGCTGTGCCAATGTTAGGTGCTTCTTTTGATTGTGCCCCTGTCTACTCCCTCAAGCATCTCTTCTCACTATAGGAGCTGCCTTCCTAAAAAAGTGCTCAAATGAGGAAGATAAATTGCCTCTACCATGCTTCGTTTCGGTTTGAATTCTTACTATACGCATGCAGAGGAACAATATTCTGCCAAAATAATAGCAAATAACCTCAACGTAAAGGACCCCGCCTACTCCTTGTGGGCCCCGTTCAATTTTCAATTTTTTATTGATTTAAACTCATCCATGGATATACTGATCAAAAGTTATTGTGGCTCCAACTTCCTACAGGGCTCTGTTTCTGCACAATTTGCTTTTTAAAGTGCAATAATTATACTTAAGTAAATGAAGGCAACGTGGCAATACGAGTTGAAAAGATCTCCCTATCTTACAGTACCGGCTGAAAATATGGAAGAAACAGGAAAATCTCAGCGTTTTAAGGTACCACTACAATGCTGAGCAGTAGTCCTATCTCAGATTCCGCTAGCTTTCTTGCTTCACCGTCCAAATTAGTTCCTTTCTCCTCTCTCCCCCTATCTTCCTTGTGACTCACTGGCTGGAGTTTTCCTTGTTAAATTGCCTTTATTTACTCAAGTAATTATTGAAAATTGAAGTGCGGGTTGTGCGAAAACGGTGCCCCGTAGGAAGTTGGCACAATGATTACTTTTGATCAGCATCCATGGATGGGTTTAAATTGTTAAAGAAATTGAAAATCGAACAGAGCACACATTACCATAAGGAGTGTGCGGGGTCCTTTGTGAGAAATGAGGATGAACATAGTAGGTATTTTCTCTGAAAGCCTCTTTTTCATCAACATAGCAATACATATATCCTTCGGCAGAACAGTCAACACCCCCCATCAAAATGATGTTAGGTTGAGGTACCCTATCAATTTAAATCAACACAGTAGTAACAGCTGTAGACAAAAACTCTTTAAATGATGGATTTAGGAAACCCTTTGTGGGTACTTTCAATCATAGTGAGAGGTCAAAAGGCTGACTTGATGTCATCGAGCAGAAATATAATTGTAATTATTGGCTCACTTCTTGGTGATGGTGCTTCAAGGACTGAAGTGGGTTGACAAGTTTGATGATTGGAAAAAGGTATTTATTAATCCATGCATAATAGTATACAACTTTACAGAACTACTTAAAACATAAATGACTAGATTCAAGAATACTTAATGGACGGAGTTTCTTCAAAATTCTCAGAGGTGCAAGTAGACAGCAAGATATTAGCTTATGAGAGAGCATCCTCATCCTTGTTGACTCTCGTAGGGATTTTCCAGACAACTGTTTTGCCACTTTCTGCTCCGAAGGCAGCCCGATTTTGCCTGGAGAGAGGAAAAATGAAACGAAAATGTTAATTATTCAGAGGAGACTTCTTTTAAGAGGCACTTTCAAAATTAAAATGGGCCACTGGACGAGGTCTAAATTAGATACAGACGTCACATGTTGTCTCCTCAAAATCTTGCGTGGAACATGATTCACAAGTCAGGAATTGGAAATCAACTCCGGATCAATATATCGACAGGACATATTCTTAACACAGATTAAATGAACGTTATAAATTCTACAAACGATGTCAGTTATAATTTTTCCGTTGAACCAATATTAATTGTAAATACTTTATCTTGTTGTAAGAGTTGAATTCCTGACTCCATGTTGAGAGGTGTATTTTTCAAATGAATGGATCGGAAAACTGAATCCAGATATACGAAAACTGCCGAAGTTAATTCTTCCAGTAAAGATCCAAAAACTGTGCAATAAGAAAGAACTAAGACTGTAAACCTGAAGGTTCTTTTTAAAATTTGTTAAGCAACCTTTAAAAATGCTATGATTGAAAAGTTCTTACATTTGTGGATTGAAGCAGACTGCTGAGATCAACGTTGAATCCACTTTGGATTGAAACGGCTTGAAATTCAATCGAAAATTCTCCCTCTTTACGTTGTAGAAAGTTGCAACGCTCTCTCCCCATGTCATGAAATACTGAGTGTCTGGTTGATACCAACTTGCACCAATAATATTTTCATCGCTGATTATAACTCGTAAAGGTTCCATCTGCAAAAAATGAAAAAAAAAAAAAAATTCATCAGAACAAAAATCGATAGGGAAATAAAGAAAAATATGGTCCTTTAGGTACTGCATTAATTTAAACTTTCACCATTTCTTTTTTTTTAAACTAAAGCCACAGAGTGACCTGAAGACAGATTGTTTAATTTGAATACCTACATATACTTTTTTTGTAGAGAAAAGGCACTCTGCATTGAGCTATTGCCTTTCAGCTGATTAATTAACTCCATTTATTCATTTTTTTCTGCAGGTAGTTTATTCCATCTTTCTTCACCAAAAGAGTACCTAAAGGTACAGCAAACCAAGAAACTAAGTGCTGGCTAAATTTTCATACTTTTTTACATGATGTTCCTTACGGCTTCTTGAGTGTGATTAGCTTTTAAAATCAAACCTTTTAAGTGGCTTCCTTTAGATATGCGGGGCTATATAGTGAATTTTCTTGGGATTTTTAGGTTCAAAATCTAATAAATATGTGATCGGTGATCAAAGAGAGCTTTTTTATCCATGCAAGCCAGGGAGGTAAGTCATATGAAAAGAATCAAATTACTCCGTATGATAACAGCATGCAGCACAGTATTCACAGACATGGCAACAGCTCCACATATCCATTAGAAAACGCATGTAGTAGAGCCGAAACATTCACTTAGCAGCTTGGCTTCCCTCAACATAAGCACATTAGATTAGATTTTACAAGTCAGATTTTAAGAGCACCTAGTACTGAGGAAGCCACAAGAAATATCACGTTAGATGACACCAAAATTATGCCTGCGCCGAATTTTTTACCATTCCAAGTGAAGGTCTTTTCTGAAGACATTCTAGGAAGGGTTTCAAATACAAATACAAGGGTCCTGCAAATACAAAATTATGTTTTCAAACTATTAAAATCTATTGACCTATTATTCTATTTTTATTAGTCTATTGTTTAAGGAAAGTTATGTGTGGCAATTTTTGAGCTTATCCATTTACTTAGATCAGGTTTTCTTGCATCTCTCTCATGGGCTAATCATGGCCAACGACTGCAAAAAAAGTGCTCGCAGATGCTCACAATTTGAAGATAAGTTGCGTGAAATACACAAATTGTGCATTGAAGAGTGGATATTTAGTCATTCCTCATATGTTCAACATGATTTTGAGCACTTTTATTGGAGAGTCAAAAATATATGCAGTTGACAACTCTCTTGGAAGGAAACAGACCATTGTGTTTAGTCCTGTTCTAGTTTCCTACTTGCCTTGGTTTTCATTAAGAACTGTCAGAGAATGTTTTTCTGCCACTCATCAACACTATACTTAATGCTTTAGGCCGAGTCATGAAACTGAACTTTACCGTTAGCATATTTACATTTGTATTCAAAACTATCAAGGGTTTGGATAAGAAGTTGATTAGGTATGGTGTATAAATACCTCCGTGAGAGAGTACACAAAACACTTCTGATCGGTAGCAACAGCCACAAACATATTATTCTTGGTTTGTTGGAAATCGATGGAGATCACAGGACTTGAGGAACATTTTTTATATGCACTCACAACCGCATTTTGCATAGAGTATTTTTTGTCTGAAGAAATAACAGAAATTCAAACATGTGAGAGCCTTAATTATACCAACAAGAATCCTTTAGAAAATCGATACATTAGTTTACAGTGGCTATTCATTCTTAGGCTGGCCTTGCTGAGCTCCATTTATTTCAATGTGGGTTTAACAATGAATATTTCACAGGGTAGGCTGCTTCACTGACAAAAAGTAAATTACTGATGATGGACTTGTACGGAGAGAAGATTTGGTGGCCAGCATTCCTTGAGGATCTCAACTTGAAGAAAGAAATTCCCTGACTACTTTTTCAGCTTTTCTACGACCATAATATTCAAACTTTCCCAACTTTTGTCTCCGAAATCAATGGAAAAGGCTATCCAAAAAGCAGCACTTTCAGCTGGTAATTTAAAATCAACCTGAAACCTCGGAGACTTTCATGCTAAGGCTATAATTTCTGAAATTTTCCTTGTCCATTGTGAAAACTCAGAAGATGGAGAAAAATTAAGCGAAAGGAAAAATTTCTGTCTCCATAATGAAATTTCAGAGACATTTCAACAAATTTTCCCCCCAAATTTTGAAGCCCACCAAATACCTTAGACCTTGATCCCTTTTCCTCCATGAAAAAAGAGGTCACTTTTGCTTGTTAAGGACAAAAATCTGCTTTTTTTATGATAATTCTTTGATATTAGTTCCCCCCCCCCCCCNCCCACGGTTTATGAGGAGTGTAAATCCAACGACATGTTTAATTTCAACTTTTGCAGTACAAAGGGAATACAAAATATATATTATTTTAAACCTTAAAAAATTTAAAATGAGGTGTAGATTTTCTCATTACTATGACACAGCTTTTTTAAAAGCCCCAAAAATGCTGCGATTTTCAGACTCTGGCACAAGCATTGAAATGAAGCATGATAATAAGTTCTCTTTAATAGATGCTCAAAAATGAATCATAATTTCCAACGCTCTTCAGTGCATGATATCATGAATACTTTTGGCCAGGAGCAGATGATTGTAACAGATTATTTAGTCGAGAGAGCCAGTTCAAAGAGGTAAGTCTGCTCATCACCACCTATCTTAAGTTTAATAATTCTAATTGATTATTGAGAATGCAGTTAGAAATATTTCTGTTTCAAAACACATTTTAGAAAAATAAAGAATACCTTTGACTTGAGGAATTGGGCGTGCTGCAACAATTGAGCACTTCAACAGATTGCCATTCATCAAAGCAACCACAAAACAGTCTGGTTGCAATGGCGCGAATGAAAAACAACGAATGCCGGGCTCGACACTGGGGTGGGACTCATCCTCAAAGAAAAATCTACAGAACAGAAAAACCTATTTATGACCATTTTTCACATAATATAGTGATGTTGTAAGCTTGAATGGAGAAATATTGATTTCTTTTTTTTCGGTAAGCATGCAACAGTCAATGGGAAAAAAAATCTTGGTGCATTGAAACAAATTTTCTGGCGTGCAATTTACATGAAATCGGATCTAAACAATGGAATTTGCGTCTCTGAAAGAAACCACACTTTACGTTCCAAGCGAATGAGCAATGAGAAGTCCATTCTATTTTCATGATGATAGAGTAAGTAAAAGAATGATTCAATCAAACAGTTCAGAACCTCTGACAGGCCCTATGAAAACTTCAGATGGCTTTTTCTAAAGGTCATATTTTTTGAGGAATCAATTTTAAAACTTTATACCTCCTACATCATCTGACATCTCAGGGCACATCAGGCAACAAACATATTTTAAAATACTCCTCTAGCAGCTGAGCCTTTCAGACCAATTTGAATTTTTTCTCAAGCAAGTTCCATTTCCAATGAATGGTCATAGTTAAGCTTGAAAACTGGAGGGACCGCGTCATGGAAGGGCAAACTCTTCTCTTACTTGAGAGCTTTCACATCGAAAAAAATGAGCATCGACAGTGAAACTGTAGGAGCGTGTATCTCGTTTGGATGTCTCAAAAACTCCAGTCCCAATTCATTTTATCAAAGGAGAACAAACCAAAGTTATTGCTTGACATTTTGTAGATTATTATTCACATAGAGGAAAAATTCAGGGTAGTTTTCAAGAAATAACATCAAGTATCAAAATATAAAGTAAGACAGGACGTCTGCAACATTGCTAACCGAATTACATACTTTCGCAGTTTCACTGTCTATACATAGCATAAAATGGTTCAAGCATTTAAAAAGCACAGTTGAGAAAATGTGAGTGTGCTACAGCGCTTTGGAAGGGTTCTCTCAAGACTATAAAGTATATATGGTTAAGTAATAATTCAGTTTTAATAACTGTAGACTTTTCAAGGGATAGAAGATTTCTCAGCCACATATTGTAAAGACAAAAATAATGCGAATCTGCGAGAAAGAATGGACCACTAGACAAGGTACGAATTTAAGCAATCTGATACATGTTTCTTAACCAGAATTTCACGTAAAACACAATTAGTGCAACGAATATCACTGAAAGTAACTCCGAACGAAGATATCAATGTTTTTATTTCACATTGGTCACGAGGAATTTGAACTGCCTGCTTACAAGAAACTCAAAGCTCTACGTGAGTCAAATCACGTACTACAACGGTTTCAGCAAGCTCCTTAATCGAGCAATGTTCATTTCCCACCATGTGTTGTTCAAACTTTAAGCAATTTGCTAAAGCTGAGCCAAAGCGTCAAAATTAACGTTGCCAGATTTTTAAATAGCAGATACTGTCATGATAACGTTTAGCGCGCGATATGAATCATGTAGAGCATTGAGTTTTCATGAGCGGGTGGTTTGAATTTACGCATCAAGAATCATTAAATATCTTCGTGAGGAGTTGATTTCGGTAATTTTCGTTGTGCGCATCGTGTTCTGCGTGAAATTTTGGTTAAAAAACATGAAGCAGAATTCTGAAATTCGTACCGTGTCTAGTGTTCCATTATATTCAATGTTGTGTGATTTAAGAAACAGGAAATTTTGGTTGGCTTTTTGTTGGTGTTGTACAAGGAGAGCAAGTGGGTAATAAAACGGTAAAAAGAATGTTACAGAGTACTAGTTAATGCCGTAACTCACCTAAGTTTTGGTTTGATAGAATTAGATTGTAGAGACACATCCCACACAATTATAAAACTATCTTTGGACGCTGAGGCCAACATCAATTTTGAGTTGGATGGGTTTGAAATCCATGAGATCTGCGAGATACAATCACTGTGGTGGCCTGAGAAGATTTCACTTTTGACAATGCTTTTTTTCACAGACCACAAATACACATCACCTGAGGAAACAAATTTCAAGAACATTATTAGAGATTTAAAGATATAGAAGGGAAAGTATAAGAGTATTTCAGCTTTCAAAAACAGAAGAGCATTCAAAAGGCTTCAAAATCAGGATTTTGAGGTGTTCGTCCAATTTAGCATGGTCAATTCTGACACGGACACGTATTAGCTAGAAAATCAATATCACTAAGACATCAGAGGATGCAAGTGCGAACGGGAAGCTATCTGATGAAACGGTGAGTAAAAGAGGATAAGCCTGCATACAGGCTGATGAATTTGAAAATTAGAATAAAATAATGAACTTACCAGTTACCGTTCCAGCTGCAAGAACAGTTCGATCGTTTGGATGGAAACTGACAGAGGTTACACAATTTTTCAAGGTTAAGGTATGAATAGGCTGTTTTGCAGGACATCTGAAAAAATTTGAAAAACAAAAATAGGTAAATCATTTTACAGAAATCACTAACTTAGTTTAAAAAATAGAATGAAGTGGAGGGGAAAGGATTCAAATTGAGATCTTAACAACACTAAGACTTTAAAAAGTTGAATAATCAAGTTTAAGTCAATAGTAATAAGTCAAGTTTATTGAATTTAAAAAGTTGATTAGAATGTAATCAATTTTTTCATTTGACATTCTGCGCTGCGACTTAATATTCTTTCATAGGAGTAAAAACAATTTTTCCTTTCCATATTCTGACAGGCTTCTAAGAATATGCGCTCTAAATTGTTCGACTTCATGAGTTGGAGAAAAAGAGGAAAATGTTCAGACTGGCACTTAAAATTTAAAAAAGGCTGGACTTTTCCAAATACCCTATCTTCCTTATACCTTGAATCCCAGCAGTACATTTTGCGTATTTTGACAGAGAAGAAAAAACGGATTAAATCCTCTCTATTCTAATAAAATCATTTTAACACCCTCGATGGGCGGGGTGAGGAAGGGAAGTAAGACGATTGATGGGCAGGAGTGAGCAAGGGGAGTTCAAAGATCCGAGTTTTAATAGAGTGGGTTTTTACTTTCAGCGGTATTTGTTTAGTCATGGACAGCTATGTGTGGCCCTGTCAAGGTCGACTTCCAGAAAAGGAATAAAAATTCAGAGTATGGAGAAAGTCATCAAGAATATTGTTTGGCGGGAAATTTTTCTTTGCAACATTCTTTGGTTATTCTGTTAAAATTATTTGTTCATTAACCGCCAACAGGCAATTTCGACGATTTTGCTGCCACGAAGCAGCTTTTGGGGGGCGCGCAGCGCCGTAGGGGTTGGGCCGCGTAGTGTAGGGGGTTAACTATTTTAATAACATAGCCCCCTAGTTATGTTATTAAAGAAGTTACCCTCCTAGTGCCACCTTATTCCTTAATAGTAGTACAACTTTTCATGAAATCAAAGGGAAAAGACAACCTACTCTTGGCATGATGACTCTTCGTACTTGAAGAGGTGAATTGTTCCTGCATGGTGGCACCAGTTGTCATGATGATGACGATAGCTAAGCGCAATCAATTTTTCGTCGCAACTCCATGATATGCTGGAAACTAGGACCTGAAATAAATATTTTAAAAATATGATTGATATGGTTTTGAGAAGGTTCTCTGCAGACCGTTCAAAGAAAGGCTTTTCTAGTAGAAGTTTGTTAGAGAGACTAGTAAATTGGAGTTGATTAACACTTAAATAGTATCAAATTAGTGCGCTGAATATTCTTATCATAGCATAGCCCTCATTGGAGAACAAAATGGCAAGTTCAAAGTTCTCAAAGAAAATGGAAAGATAGACATTTGAAAGGAAACCACCCAACTATTTAAAAGGGAGTTTACTGAGGAGTTGTTTGCAACTAGCCTGATAGGCATTATGCTGAGTTTGGGTGGAAAAAAATTAATTTGACAACTAAACATGACGTTTCGAATGATACACATGACATGAACTTTTTTTTTTTTTTTTTTTTTTTTTTTTTTTTTTTTAGTTTTGGCAGGGAAAAATAAAAAGAAAAATCTATGAGAATCAGAGTAATATCAGCACAAAGAATACTACGAGAGCCAGTAATTGTGACTGAGATAGTGAGGGGTGGTTTAAAACGAGCAAAAAGGGATGAAAACTGAATTTATACATATCGACGGTGTAAGTCGGCAATCACATAACTCGGTTTGCGACGTTGTACACTTCCTGTCATACCTTATTTTTTAAACGGAAAACTACTCGACGGCAATTCTTTAAGACTGCTGTGATTTTTCTTCTCTAGGCGAAGGAAATTCTGCAAAAACTTGAAGGAATGATTTTAATTTGTTCTCCTTTAAAAAAATAAAATAGAGGCGGAGATTCTCAAACACCGCAAACGAGTTATGTGATTGCCGACTTACACAGTTGATATATATTTTTATAATTCATTTCTCAGATATTTATGAAGAGCGTTGAAATACTGAGGGAACAAATGACGCAAATCAAATTTTTTGCAACAACTACAAGAAATACATTTTCATACTTCCCTTAACTATTAATGAAATCGATAAACCACCTTAAAACTTTGGTTAATTCTCTGTGAATATAAGGAAAGGACTGACAATGAGTGTGGGGTTTCCACCTATGAGAAAGTACTAGAATGCTGAGAGGTACAGTTGCGAGCATTCTAACCTTTTCAATGTTTTTCTTTCGGGTCTGTTTTTGATTTACGTAGTTGTTGCAAAGAACTTCTAAGTTGTACCTCCGGCAAGGTTTTGATGAATACTTACAGAAACATGTCCTTCTAAAGAGCATATTTGTTTGAACTCTACATCAGCCTCCTCAGTAATTGGCTCTGATAGACATTTCAAGGAAGGATCTTCTTCATCTAAAACTTTCAAAACGGTTTGACCTGCTTTGCGTAGAAATGCAATCAAATTCTCTTCATTGTACCTTGGCTGGTTTGTACTGAAAGATGCATCCGAGACTTGCACCTTGAAGAAAATTTGGCTCATTAACACAGGTAAAATTTTACTTTAAAAGATATTTTAAGAATCAGAAATTGTGAAAACTTTGGCCTTTTCTTGAACATGATTTTGGGAAAATAGTCGATTTCCATAATTCTGAAAATTATTGTGAGCCAATACTGCCTATCAATTATTTTTAATTAATACAGAAGTGGATTCACTATAGAAGCCTGAGCCCAAAGACAAATACTCAGTTAATTTGACAGTGATGATTACCTGTGGCGTCAAGGCTATGTAGTAAAGTTTGTTACATTTTTTCAGGAAAGAGAGTGAGTAGAAATACTAGACAAAAAAATCCTGCACCATTTGTAATCACTTTCTTAGAGTTGATGGACACAGGAAGTGTCATCTATACACAATTTCAGTTTATTGAATACTTCGTGAAATTAGAGAAACTGACTGAAATGAGAGCAGGTAAAAAATAAGCAGGGCAGAGGTTGCAATTTCTGTCTTTTTGTTAACTTGCACTCAAGAATATATTCATGAGCTTGCTTTAGTTTTTATCTCCTCTTCTAATAACTGTGTTTTTTCTCCGTTTCAGAACAGTTTTAACAACATAAATTATTTGCTACAGGTGTTTTTCAGACCTCTACTCATCGTTGCAGTTTAGAACTGGGGAAAGAGAAGAGACAAAAGTCACATCAGTCTGGATGCGTCAATCATTAGTTGGCTCATTGGTTAGGATGTAAATGTCTGTTGAATGGTGCAATTTTCGGATGTGACATTTGTCTCTTCTTTTCTTTCCCCAGTTCTAATAAGTCCGTTTGCAGAAGAAATTGATGACACAAAGGCAAGGAGTTCTCAAAATTTTTCTTATGACTTCAGTTAGGGGTATCGTGTCTGATAGGTACTTTGAATTTCATTAGATAATTAAATTTGCTGCTTTGACAGTAAGGACTAAAAGTACAGGCAGTTCTGAGAAGATAACTGATCAAGAGGGAAAGATAATAAAAAAAAATGAAAGTTACAGATGACTTGGTTGAAGACATTGATGTTGCCATGGGACATGTTTCTGAGTGTCAACAAATTTGTTTAAGTCATTACATCTGAACGCACCTGTTGGTCATGACTGCCAATGGTTTGAGATGAGTCTTCTTTGAAATTCACTTTAAAATCGGTCTCCGTCCCAACACTGGCCACGCTCCTGAAATCAAATAAAAGGCTTGAAATGCTGGATCTTTGCAATTAAGGTGACTCGATGGACGACATATTTTCTGTCAGAACGGCATGCGATATATCGCACCAATTGGTTCCATTTTTTCAGCTTCTCGCCATTTTTCTCCAATTTTGAAATCGCAATTCTGTTGTCCAGATACTAGAGCACTCACTTGCTAATTTTAACAAAGAAATTCAACGTAATAAAGGCGTGGTTTTTTAAGACAGAAAATATCGCATTCAAGTGCAGTTTCGATATCAGTACCGAATGCGATGTTTTCTCTCTAAAAAACCCACGCCTTTCTTACGTTTAATTTCCTCGTTAAAATTGGTAAGCGAGTGGTTTAGTCTCCTGACAACAGAATTGAGATCTCAAAATTGGAGAAAAATGATGAGTAGTTAAAAAAATGGAACCAATTGATGCGATAAATCGCATGCCGTTCTGACATAAAATATGGCGTCCATCGAATCACCTTAATCTACGAAAATGGATGAAGAAATTCACCCAGATGTTGACTGAATTTCCATCCTTCTTGAAGAAGCCCTAAATTTTGTAATTGCTACGGTTACTACTGAGGACATTAGAAACAAAAATTATGCTGAGTGATCAAACTTTAAGTAGAAAATCTTTGATTGATTTTTCTTCAGTTTAAGGAGAGCATATCGCTGGTCAAAGTACAAAACCATATTACCGTTCGCTCAGTAATGACTCTGAGAAGTGAGTGATTTGAAAGTAACAAAGGTAGAAGCTAAAAAATCTAGATCTCTTCCACATACTTAGAAATACGACCGTTCGCAGAAGCTCAATGAATACACACCTTTCACTTTTCCAGACTGAAATGAACTCTTCCCTTTGATTATTACTATCATCAAACATTCTTGGCGATAGCTTGTCCAAAAAACATACAAAGTGAAGGACTGACAAGCTCTTTGATTCAAGTTTCAAGTTCAAAATTGGCAAGACATATTACGATACAGTTACTGACACTAGACTTGAGGGACTAAGATGCAGGCTGTGGACAAATTTTAACGAAACTGTAGACTACATGTGTGGTTTTTAGGCGATCTGAATTTACCAGAATTGAACCGATTTACTGCTTGATATGAGAAAACCCATAAAAAAGAACTAGAAAACTTTAATAATGTATGGTATAACTATAGATAAGTGCTATCGCATGCTATCTCGTTGTTTACATTGTTACCATGTGATAATTCTTCTTAGTTCTTCTTCTTCCCCTCTTTCTACCACCACAGTCAAAACCATCTTTGAACTTCAGAATTATGAAAGTAAGCTACTTGTGTTCATTCGAAATGAAAATTAACTATTTAGATGTGTTTTCATCATTATTTTTTCCTACTTATTTACTTCTGCAATGAAAATTTTTTTTATTTGTAAATTGTAACAAGTACCTTAAGGTAGAAGCTTTTGCGGCTACAGCAGAATTATGATCTTCCAAAATACCAACTTGCTGTTTCCCTCGTCACTGTTCCACAGTTGTAAACCGTGCTATAAAACCGCTCCCTAATTTTTTAAAAAGATTTGTATTCAGCCAAGCTAGAAAAACAAATTAAATCTTCAATTTTAGATGAAAGAAAGGGCTGAAGATGAGAATATGAAAAAGGTTTATCATCGAGAGTTTCTCAACTATACGTTGTCATGTTTGGTAACATTGTGACTACGTCAGATTATTGACATTTGTTTTGAAAGCCGCCATTTTTATCTACAAAGTTTTTGGTGGTGTCACGCCGAAGGTAAGGAATTTCCTAATTTATCCGGTTGAATCCGAGTGATTTCCAATTCTTATTTATGAGTTTCGTGATTAAACTGTGATTTGCAATACATCCTAACGGATAAAATTCATACCCGACGCCAGAAGGTTTTCCCTTGCGTGGATTTCCAGCTGATTTTGGGCAAGCCGTGCATCCCTTATTCCTCCCTCAAGTATTTGTTTTGCCGTTTATTTTCTAATTACCCGTGCCAATTATCAATTCTTGATTCTTCCAGACCAATTTCCAATCACTTCTTTTGCTTCAGTTTGGAAGACTGCTTAACATATTTCATTTTAACTTGGATTTTGTTCAAACATGATGTGTCAACTTTAGGTTATGTTCTCTCAGTTGTGCTGGCCATCTGATTCTCTTCTAAGTAAGCCAGTCATTACATCAAGGCATGAAACTTAGTTCCAATTCATGTATCATTCGTGGTCTCTTAAAAACATCTGTAGACCCTAGTTGCATTTACGAATGGAATTGTCGCTGGAACAATCGTAGTCGTGTTCAGCTCCTTCATGACGAGTCTACCGAACTGATGAATGAGACTGGAGCTCATGCTCAGTTTTTTTGTCGACTCCAGGGGCCAACAACTATCGAGATGAGCATTTGCAGCTACTACATGATGATGGCATAGTGCTGAACTATTCTGGCATACTCTGTTAAGGCAGTATGAGCTCATTAGTAAGCTGTGTTGAAGGGTCTTGCACTGTATCGATGAATGTATATTCAGTTAAGTGAATGAACCAAGCAGATGCAGGTATTCAAAAGTGCTAATTGCATGCTGTGTTTAACGCGTGTCATTGAAACACCTCCAGATAGTCCCATAATAAACATTCCTCAATACCTGCATCTACTAGGTTCAATCACTCAATTGAATATCATCAGCAAGAGATGATCTTTTATCCGTGCCTTATAGTAAGGTGTTGAATGCATTTGGTTGACAGAACTCTGTTGATATCTCTGGTCTGGAATTCTCAAACGCTTTTATCAGTTGTAGGCAGCAGAAATTAAGAGAATCTAGTATTATTTTGTCAAAAGAATGAATTTTGTTCCTGGGGAATTTTACTATAACTACACATCTCTCAGTGCCACGGAGTCATTCTAATTCATTTGCTCTTCATTTCCAGCATCCAGAATGGCGAAGGGAAAGCCTATGAGGAAGGGCAAGTCTGCCATCAATGAAGTCGTCACTAGAGACTACACCATCCACATGCACGCCAGACTTGCTGGCAGGCAAGGAACCAAAAAGCGAGCACCTCGTGCTGTGAAAGAAATTAGGAAGTTTGCCTTCAAGGCTATGGGCACCCCAGATGTTAGGATTGACACTAGGTTGAACAAACATGTCTGGATGAAAGGAATCAAGTAAGTAGATCTGTCAGTTGAATTGGTAGTAATCAAAAGTAAATAGACGTGTTGTCAGATACGTTGGCATTTGTTTACTTTCGATTTACAGGCACTGGCAACGAATTTACACCTTTGCACAAAGCGTCCCTCGCTACTATCCACTTTTAAAACATCCGTCTTATGATTGTATTATGAAGAAACTACCTATCAGTTATGAATCGTGACTTTTATGTGGTTGTGATTTCTGTGTGGCTAAAAATTAAAGTGTCCTAAGGTTTGAAAGTATTAAATTAAAAACCTGTCCAAGCTTGTGATCTCTCTTCTACAAGAGTTGGATGTTTTCATGTGGATAGCAGTGACGCGGAAACTCCTGCAAATCAAAGTAAACTAATGTCAATTTATCCGACAACACCTCTATCAGAAATTCCTGACACATGCAAGAGCTTAATTCATCTGTCATCCAAGTTACATCTTAGTATACCAAAGAATAGTTCTATTGCTCTGAAAGCATGCTGAGACCACTGATTGAAGTAGTTTAATTTCTTCAGTGTAATTTTATTGACACATGCAACAAGAACTCTTCCTAGAACGATTGGGCTAATCTCTCCATAGTTAGCTTGCACTGATACGGGTAGTACAGATGTGTTTATTTTCTTCAATTTTATAAATTATCGAAACTTCATTATTGTTCTCAGTAAGTCCTCTTGGTTTTGATTGGTTAGTCATTCTGATGGACCTAAGAAATTTAAGTCAGTCCTGATTTTCTATTGCCTACCAAATCAGTTTTATTTCAATGCTAGTTGGACCTCTAAACTCTTGGCTTAGAAACCTGAAGTATACTTGCTAAGTAATTGCGGCTACGATCTTGCATCAATGCATTCAAGAAGAGCATGTTGAGACCACTGATCAAACTAATTTGCTTCATCAGTGTTTTTTTTTTGTATCATGCCACAGCAACCCTGCCTAGAACGATTGGACTATTCTCTTTATAGATGGTTTACACTGATACGGGTAGAACAATTAGTTGATAAATTTAGTCAAGAAGGTTGAGGATTATTATGAGAAAATTGAGCCATGGTACTGGTAGAGTAATCGGAGTACCCGGGCCCATAAACTGTTTTGAACATTGATCGCCAATGTCAGAGACCTCTCCAGAACAGCAGTTTTTTGCCGCCATAGAATGTTCCTTAGGGATACCCTTTGTTTCCACCAATAATACAGCGTAATCCCCTCATTATGGCCCACGGATTTACCTACAAATATAACCAGTCCTAGGGTCTTGACAGTTTATCTGATTTTTACTCCACAGGAGACCCAGGTTTCCATTTAATCTAAAGGTTGATGGACATCATATACACTGTTAAGTTTTCGACTAACTTGAAGCCTACCCCATTAAAATTATCTTTAAGCTGTTAAAATCCCATTGGATATTGTTGATTGCTTAAAAAAAGAAGAAAAAAAAGGGCATGTTGAGACCACTGATGAAACTAACTTGTCTCACCAGTGTTTTTTATTATCACATGCTATATAAACACTGCCTAGAACGATTGGACTAATCTTTCAATAGATAGTTTACACTGATACGGGCAGAACAGATCTGTAGCCTGTTCATAATTTGTGCGGTTTGTTTTGTTAAAAGAGCACTTTCTCTTCAGAATCAATTGTGCCGACATTCATCGGATGCAGAGCTGGATTTAGGTTTCTGCCTCCTGGTGCCGAAAAAAAAATTTTACATCTAAATCGATCAAAGATTTAATAATTGGCTGAAAGGAAATTTCACCTTGTAATAGAAAATCACTAGGAATTGGAATTATAACCACTTTCTGTTGTTGCTTTGTTTTCCTTTTTGATGTCCTAACATTTACACAGATTGCTGAACATAATCATGATTTTGCGCTCCTCCAGTTTGATTTTTTCTTGCTCATCAGTGACCTCTCTTTGATTTCAGGGGTGTACCCAACAGAATCCGAGTTCGCCTTTCCAGGAGGCGTAACGAAGATGAAGATTCACCTCATAAATTATACACCTTAGTTCAATGGGTCCCCGTCCGAACTTTCAAGAAACTGCAGACAGAAAACGTTGACACAAGCCAAGAATAATTGTAAGACCTCACTCTGTGACTTTTTTTTTACTTTTTTTTTTTTTAAATTGAATAAACTATTTGTTAATTTTATCATAAACTTTTTATTTTTAGTTTTCTCTCATGGACCTCCGGACAGCGTAAATAAGAATTAAAACACTATTAGTCTCTTTTATCTCAAAAAAATTTCATACATTGCAGAATAAAATCTAAAAATGACTGAAAAGAACGAAATAATTGTTTACCATTTACCATGAAATCAGAAAATTGAAACCACCCTCGCTAAAAAGACCCCAAATTAATGTGGGTAGAATCAGTAATTGAAAACCAATTCTTTAGTTCGGCAAGTAGTGAAGTAACCCAAATTAGGTAGTCTGAAAATCGCATTTTATCTTTGCTACATATGGACAGTGAAATGGCAAAAATATGTATCTCGACTACAGTGTTTCAAAATCTCTCCGTATTTAAGTTTTTACAAAGAGACCAAATCAACAGCATGCCTCGATATTTTCCCAGAATATTTTTCAGGTAGAGATTACAAGTTGTAAAAGTTTTCAAGAAATTACATTCATCGTCTGCGACATGCGAAGTGGTAGTCGAGGTGCGGAGTCAGGTGAGCGCCTCCATCTACAATCGAGGGTTGAAATGCAGGTCTATTGGCAAATTTGAAGGACTCGGGCTTGCTAAAGCCAATCAATCCTCAGGCGACATATGGAGTTGCTCACCTGACTTCACCCTTCAGTCGCCACTTTTCGTGTCGTGGACTCGAGTATTTCTCCATTAAAGTATGATAGGAAGTCTGCAACGCTACAAATCGAGAAATGCATTTCTACTGTTTCACCATAGCTAAAGTGCTGGTCGACTTGTCACGAGAACTTCAGCACTTCGGAAAAACTATTGTATCTCAAGGTTCACTCAAATTCATTCCATGCCTGATTTGACTTGAGGAGATTTTCGTATTCTAGTAAAAAAAAAAGTATGAGCGGACAAAGATGTAGAAAATTCTAATTTTTGTTTTACGAAGTTAAGTTTTGAAATTCTATGAAGTGTCTCTGTGCAATTTTAATGATGCAGCAATGCTCAGTTTTTTGTTTTCAAGTCTTCAGTTCCACTACTTTCACCAAAAATTCACTATTTGGCTGGCAATAGTGGGTTTCCTTGACTACAAAAATTAAATTTGCTTGCATCAAATGAAACAAGGTTGATTCTGTATTATCCGAACATCGAATATATTGCTCTTCTTCATTTTAAATTTGATTGCAATCAATGAATGTACTGTTGTGTCCATAATATTTTCTGAGATAAGGTCAAAAACTCACAGTAAAAATTTGTGAACAACAACTGGGTCAGTCGCATGTTAAGGTTGAATCTCTATGATTAGCCATAAAGAATTAGATTTGATCTAATATTAATTTCTGTGAAAGTTGATGGAGATTTCATATATTATTATTCAAAGATAATATCATTAATTGCCAACTGGTCATAGAGAAAAAAAGGAGGTGTTTGCATCTTGCATCTTTGTTTACCCTGTGACTTAGGTCGGTACAACCTGGCCAGCGAAATCCGGAATTCGAAGTGTAAAAAACAGACCATAATGTCCGATTTTTTTACTTAAATCAACTCATGATATAATTTCAAGCACTTTTTGTAGAATGTCTCTTCCGTAAATTACACCATTTCCAAGAAAATCGATGATAAACTTGTTGTATCGACCTACGTCATCCGAGTTGCCCGAAATACAAACACCTCCTTTTTTTTCTCTATGCCAACTGATCACTTTAAAGCAAAAAAAAAAATTCGTTTTGTACTGGTAGTTTCATAATCAGTGTTAATCAAAGGGCAATAACTGTTTTAAGAAATTTGGTGTATTTGTTCAGTTCTGATTCTTTTTTTCCTGTGCTGGAGGGTCCAACCTCAGAAGCACAGGTCTATGAACAGTGAATACGGGACTATTATTTGAGTCAATAAAAAAGGAAATGATCTTGCATTTTTAGAACAAAAAAGTTTAATTGTGGGGCTTGGAGGACAAGGCGCCTAAGTACAGTTTTTGAAGAAATTGAGATGTTAATAATTTCAAGTAAAACTAGTCTTAATGCATATTCTGTTTAGAATTCACTACCAATTTCTAATGTCTATAAGCATCAAAAGGTCAGTTAGAACTTTCTCTCCGCCATAAGGATCCATGAAATTTCGAAATTTCAAACACGTATTTCTCGATATAACGAAAACTGCACTCATGTGCCCTCTCCTTCAAACCCCTTACTTAGGATTACTTGGATCGCATTTAGCAAGAAGGAACCAACACTTTTACAGTGATCTCAAAACTAAGGAACATCTTCCCTGAGAAGAATACTAAATATAACAGCGATAAACATAACACTTTCGATGTTCTACATAATTCTCAATTTCTTGGTAGAAAAAAGGAGACTATTTGCTGCTCTGGGGATTTTTTTTAGATAATAATGAAGATGCATGACCTTTACAACATTTTAATCAATGCTGTACCCTTCTGCTGAATACGATCCATGTATGTAATTTACTTAGCTTTTCTTCTCTTTTACAGTAAGAAAAATTAAATTACCTACTGGCAAGGAGGCAGAAAAATTAAAATTGTTAAGATTCAGGTTTACAAATATTTTATTATTCAAGATTTTTCAGGACTGACTTAAAAAATTAACAACATTAAAAGAATATCACAGATATTTAGCACACGACTCACACTACAAATCATCAGAATACTTTAATAAAGTGAGACAAAGTCTTTAGGAATTTGGAAGAATGATATGGTAATAATATAAAAAAATAATGTCTTTTATCCTCTTTCGACGAGGGAAAATACTGATCACTCATTTGCAGGGTTACACAGTTTCAACGACGGTTCCAGATTTTTCAGACCGTTCTGGAACTGAGAATCTTCACCAGATGTTAAACTGTAACGATGTAATGGAAACTGAGCTTCAGACATGATGTTAATTTTCAATACAGTTGGTGGTCAAAGATGGCTGACTTAAATCAACTTGTTCTCCGTTCTGGTCAGGCTGGATACCACTTACTGCTACGGAGTCCTTGATCTGCTTCAAAATTCTACCTAGAACTTCAACCTGATGCTCTCGAGGGACCTTCTCAAAAGGTGGTATGTGGAGGAAACCTACCCGCTTTTGAGGGAAATATTGGAGCGCCCGATAATAGACGTAGTTACAAAGGTAATCACCCGCATCACGACTCGGTTGCAGATCAGGATCAACTTCAACGGTGCTTAGTAAATCATCACTCCAAAGAGTTGAATTGAGGATGAATGGTGACCCTTCCTCAATTGGTCCAACAGGGCACAGACCTTTTACGTCAGGTTTTTTCCCACACCAGTTGCGAGCATGGAGCTCAGGTTTCAATACCTCTCCTTGAGAATCTACCCCTATCAGAAGCAGAACATCGAATCGCTCAGGGTCCAGTCCAGCAAGGAGGGTATCCACTGAGTTGTAAGCGACATCGATCAACTCGAAGTCATGGCCACTGAGCTCGGCAAGCCTTGCGGAAGGATTGTCTGCTATGCGTCCAAAAGGACCGAAGCCGGTGATTAGAATACGCATGGGGTGACGCTTGTCAGGACCTCCAAAAACCGTTTAATGCTCAAGTCTTCGGTTGAGATCTGTGACACAGAGATAACTGAAATTAATAAAGTTTAAATAACAGTTGTAAATGTCATTCCATTACTAGAGAAATGGCAAGATTAAATATGTACCAATGCTGGCACCAATCCAGCACTTGTTTTTGCAGAAAAATATATCTTTGAAGGTCTTCGCCTTGGTTTTGTTTATTTTCTTATGAAAAACATCAGTTTTTGAGTTCAACATTATTTGGCACAAGTCCTTCAATTTTCATTTGGGGCCAAGATTCTCCTGGTAATTTTTCTTGAGTATTTTGGATAAATGGAGAAGAAAAGACACCAAGTCCTCTGAAAATGATAGGTTCATATACTTCATAAAGTCATTACCTACATTCACTATGACGTGAATTAGCAATGTTAGCAAGTTAGAATATTGTCACGCAGTAGAGTCTTCACTTGCAGAATCCTGCGAGATAGAGAATCTTAATGATTCAGAGTTAGAGCAATTGGCAAAAAACTTACCGATAAGTCTTACTGAAGTAGGTAGCACACCCTTTGATTCAGGTTTATCAATGAGCTGTCATCGTCACAGAAAACTCCTTTGTTTATTAAGTTCAGTAATGGTAGTAAGTAGTAAATGAAGAAGACAGATTGCAATGCATATAGAAATAATTTTATCTTCAAGAAACAAAACTTGGATAAGATAAAATGTTATCTATGTACGCCGGTTGACAGAGGGGTATTGTCAGAGACAAGGTATTGTCCAAGCTTTGAGAGGTTAATATTTGATGCATACATATCACAGATACATATTGCAACTTCATGTATGTAAATAATCGTCCTGTCCATAGTCAGGGACCAGTTCTATAGGACCCTGGACTCCCGTAAGAGTCAATGTAAAAATTCGTGAGCAGGTACTAGTGCTGCTGTCGCGCGTAGGATCCTCGCAACTCACTGCTGTTATCAGTTGTTGGACTTCATTAAAATCCGTAGGATCGCGTATAACTGCGAAAAATCGAATTTTTCATCGCATCATTACATGCGGCGGGCCCTTCCTTGTCGAAAGGGGTCGAAAAACGCCAAAAATATACTTATTTTTTAAGAATTCAGCCGCCTTATGTGTTATTTTTCAATCTCCGGCTTAACCTCACTTTTGGAGCGGGCGATGGATGAGTCGAGGTTCGGGGGGAAGGATCCTCTGAGTTGACTAGGATCCTACGCGAGAATGCGCTGCAATCACCCGCTCACAACAGAACGGCGTCCTATAGAACTCGTCCCTGCCATAGTTCTCTTATCCCCCGCCAGGGAGCCCCCCCCCCCCATTCGCAAGTTCTAATTGCCGCGAAATTCGAATTCACGCAACTTTTTCACACGTGAAATTGAGGATCATTATGAAAACTTAGAAATTTCCGCTACACATTTCATGAGACTGTCAAATTTTTGAAAAATATGGAATAGTGACTTAAGGGACAATGTATTCAATTCGCACTAAACATTATCTGAGAAAGAAAAAATTTCATTGATTAAGGAACCTGTACTCAAATGCAACTGCAACCAATAATTGGACTGATACTCGTAAAAGATAGCTAGAGCATATTTCTGTTGGAGCCTGGTACTTGCCCACATTTGGTTTCATCAATTTTAAAATTTCACTAATAAGCAAAAATTCACTTTTGACCCAAGCTTCATGGCCTCGTCTTCGAAAAACTCGACAATATGTCTTAATTTGATAATGGATTTAATAAGTAAAAAAGTAAAACAACATATATAAGTACGAAACTTAGTGATAAGAATGATTAAAATGATGCCTTGAAACAGAATTTAAATGGTCATTTAGCATTGAATGATATTTCACAATTCGAAACACATTTTTCATTATATTTCGGATACCTATGTCCAGGAATATTTTATCAGAAGAATCACAAATTTACGTTGGATGGAATTCTACCACCTTCCCTTCAACAAAGCGCTTTTTCCTATGAATACGAAAAGTAAAGTTATCACTGATATAATAATTTTCGAAAACATTTTCTTTTTTTATTTAATTTTTGTGGCGGCGAATCATTGTAAATACCCGTGCAAGGGTCTATTTCCAAAGTCATACTATTGAATTTTACCCGCGAGTCATTAAAATTGTCCTCCTTATGATTCTATGTTAAAGGCCTCCTTACACTTCCCTTGATCACAATGTAAACCATATCGATGGTGAAACTACCAAACCACGTATCTCGGTTTGCGACGTTGCAGACTTCCTATCATACTTTATTTCTGAAATGAAAAACTATTCAACATCAACTCTTGAACTTCCACGATTTTCCTTCTCTGAACGAAGAAAACTCCATGTAAACTTTCAGAAATGTTACTGATTTGCTATCCTTTAAAAAAATAAAATAAGAACAAAGATTTTTAAACACTGCAAACGAGATACATGGTCTGGTAGTTTCAAAATCCAAATGGTGCCTCTCTATGAAAAAGAGCTGTTTGGGGAACCACCATGATTATGACTGTATAAATTAAAGTACCGCGTGACAAGTTACCTCAAAAATTTTGCATGGATACCTTACTTGTTGAACATATCAATAAATGGATTAATGTGAAATCAGTATTTATAGTTTGCATGCATTAAAATTCGTAAAATACTTCCTACTTTTAAAAAAAACCATGAGAACTTAGCTCAACCAGCCATTTAAAACTTTCTAATTTTCAGCAATTAGAGGCCGCTCATAAAATAATACATTACGGGGCTTGACGAGAGTGTTACGCTGTTTTGTTTTAACGCTTTAAGGGCGAGGACCTTAGGAAATAAAAGCATCTTGCAAGGGGAGGGGGTTGGACAAATCCCAAGTCCAGCATTAGGTGCATATTTTATGAGTGGCCCCTTAACTGGATTCTGATTTCACAAAAATGTCCACTCTTTTAAAACATATACAGAACTCTTTAACTTGTAAAAATGATCACAACTCAAAAGATATTATTTAGTCATATGGACTCGATTCTGTTGGCAAGTCTTCATCATGTTCTGTGGAAAACCTTGATGGGGAGAAAAGTTGTGGTACTTAATTTTTTAAATTGTGCATTGCGATTGGAAGAACATAGAATGAAAGAAAAAAGCAAGTTTTAAAACAGATGCGTAATTGATTTCATTACTTAGAACAATCGAAAAGAAACATGAACAAATGTACAAAATATAGAGCCAGAACAAGAAGCTGGAACAAAAGTACATGGCATACGAGACCTGAATAGAGGAATTCCTCCACCGGTCTTTCGATAAGTCTTCACTTACAGAATAGAATTATGAGGTCTCGATTGAGGTTTAATTTCAAAGTAAAATATTATTCAATCGGATCATAATCAAAATACTACTTACAAAATATTACATATTCACACATGGGATGAATACAGGAATAACTGATGAAAGGAATTTACATGAGTTTTCAATAAAAAGGCAGATAATTTTTCTTTTTGGCAGAAATTCCTCGAACATCAAAAGCAAAAATTTGGAAGCTCTGAGTTAATAATGAGCTTGTTAACCTGTTTCTAATTCTTGCATTTTCAGAAACTACATTGTCTCCTGATCACGCAGTATTTTTTTCAGATTTTTCCGAGCCGTTTTTCCCTCCGAAAACGACTTTTGAAGTTCGAAATTTTAAAATGCCGCGTTTGCCCGCGCTTTAGCGGCAATTCAATATGGCGCCGGAATTACCCCCTGGCTTCTTGCCACACATTCGACCGGGCGCCGTCAGCGAGACCTCTACGCGTTCGAACATCGAGACTAAATCAAAACAACCAACTGGCTGTTATCAATTTCACCTTTAGACGAAGATTTCTCTAGTTTTTGGCATATTTTCTGAACTGTTATTCGTTCAACTAAATATCTAACCCTGCTTTACAAATATCTCGACGTGTAATCTCCTTTGAACGTTGGAAAATCCGAAAATATTGACAAAATTCGGCTAGTTTACTCAGTCATTTCAGTACACTGAGATACTGAGTTTCCATGGTAGTGAAGTGAATTTGGGAATAATTCTTCTTGAAAATGTTGAGTGCATATGTTTTTGCAGTAGTTTTTGGTTAAACTTCAGAAACAACAACAGATTGGCCGGTTAAATCCTGACACTGTTACTGACCATGCCGAAACTTCATGATGCGAAGCCTTGTTCTTTGTTTCGGAAAGTAAATATTTTGGAGAGAACTTCCTACTTCTCATTTACAGCAATCTAAATAGAATCAGTAATCGAATGTTCTTCCCTCAATGGCTCTCTTTAAAGAAATATCCACAATATATTACATGTATCACTTGTTTACTCTTAGGAAGCCACCCAAGACTAAATAGCCTTCGACAATTTTCTATTCTGGGACCGTAAACTTATTAAACTGTTCAGTGTTCCATAATTATCAACAGGTATATTGTGCATTGCTAGTGTGTGCCATTCTTTGATAGTTTGTCTCAATGCGAGATATAACATCAGTGATTTAATCTCCATTTCTCGTCCACTCATATTTTATGTAATCGATCACATCCTCCACAAGACTTCGATTCACTTTGAACCTGATTTTTTTTTGGTAAATAATGGCTCACTATGCTGAGCGTTTTACCAGAAAGTCAGCTTTAAGTTACATTCTTCGACATGGAACTACACATAAATTTTGTGAAGATGCATGCCCTGACTCTGAATAAATGGATGTAATTGGATGTTATTAAAAATCCTGAAGATGAAAGGTGAGTAGCTAACTACTTTGTAAGTTCCCTTCTCAATTTCGATTACCTATATGGTTTCTAATGGCGGATAATAAGAGTCGTCCAGAAAGTAAGTTTATCTGTTTAATATTTCCTAAACGAAGGTAGGTAGAGAAAATCTGTAATAAGTTTTGAAAAGTCACTACCGTCCCTGGTTCTCTATTACGCCGTAGATTTTTAAATTTGGCTTGATAGAACTCTAAAAACGTGGGATTCTCTGAACCCACCTCCTCTTCGCATGGGTTCAAAATTTTACGGAGCTTAATTCGCAAGTGAGCCTTCCTGTCTTTCGCTTATGGCAAGAAACTGGCTTAAAGGTGATTGAAATACGTGTGAAACATATACATATCAAACAACAAGTAAGGAGTATTCCTTGTTTCCAACAAGGAATCAGCAGGATTAGCCGTGTTTACTTCAAAATACGGGAAAATGTCCTTAAAAAAATGTGTTAAATGTCTTACATGTGTTTCAACCACCCCTAAGCCACTTTTTTGCCATGAGCGATAGACACAGTGGCTCATTTGCGAATGAGGCTCTGTAAAATTTTGGACCTGTGCGGAGAGGAGGTGGATTTAGAAAAACCCACTTTTCTAGAGTTCTATCAAGCCAAATTTAAAAATCTATGGCGCGTTAGAGAGCCCTGAATGGTGGCTTTTTTAAAGTTTATTATAGATTTTCTCGAAGTACCTATCTCAGTTTAGGATATATTGAACAGGTAAACTCATCTCTGGACGATCCTCGTAGTTGTTCTTTCCTCTTTCTTGCAAATTGAAATGAAATACTCAAGGCTCTATATCATAGAAATATCTTTATGAAAAAGCAACTGAGTTTAAAAATTGAGACAAAGAAAAGATATCGATGACAGTAAAATGAGGTGAGAAAATCTACCAACTGTAGGCATCCACTTCATATTATTGCAATCACATGAATTAGTTGGCTGGAGTCTACCGCATCCATCTGCATAATTGATTTTAAGGGTTTCCGTGGGTATACTGAAGGAAAATCTAGACAAATTTTCTTTGACTTATATTTTGATCAGTACCTAGACATTTCTGCTGTGAAATGGAGACCTCAGGTTTCCATGTCAATCCAGTGATAAGAGAGTACCTTGGTGTGCCTTCGAATTAACACTTGCTATATTTTTATGATTTTCAATTACTGGATATTACAATCATTGCACACCACTAACATTTTTTATGAGAAAACCACAAATGTTCCAAAGAATTCAAAACAAGTCATGTGCATGTTGGAGCAAATTTACTTCCGTTCTAGTTTGAACATTATTGGTACGTACCTTTCAATTTCAGGATTTAACGGCTTTTGCCGAAGGGTCTGTTGGTGCCGGCACACACAGTTCCAGGGTAGAGTGGAGATCCATGTCGAAGAAAATTCCTTTGAACTGATTTTTTAGTAAATAAATGCTCAGATAATTGAAGCATAATTTACTGCACTATCAGACTTCAAAGGGAGTTGGTCATGAGGTAGTATTCACAACAGCATAAGAAAGAATATGTGGATATACAAGTAGAAGTAATGAGCAAATATACAGATTCCTGACTTTAACACTCAAGAAAGGAGGAAAAATCGTAGAGTAAGTGCTTGGTATCAGATGTTCTAGCAGCATAATGCCCGTCCAATGTGAAGATTGTTTGCATACCCAATGGTTGCAAGTGCAAGAATCTATGTATAACCGCAGAAAATGTATCATTAGAAGAACACTTATAAGTATATTTTGACTAACATGAACACTGTAAAAGTCGTGTGCAATGTTAATCCCAAATTCCCAACACCGAAAACACGGCGATTTCAACTGAAAAACAAGCCTTTAGATACTTAAGTGATAGGGACACACACATATAACTAACACAGTTTTGGAAGCTATTTCCGGATTTTCCAACGTTTCAAGGAGATTGCAGGTCGAGATATTTGTAAAGCAGGGTTAGATATTTTAGTTGAACGAATAACAGTTCAGAAAATATGCCAAAAACTAGAGAAATCTTTGTCAAAAGGTGAAATTGATAACAGCCAGTTGGTTGTTTTGATTTAGCCTCGATGTTCGAACGCGTAGAGGTCCCGCTGACGGCGCCCGGTCGAATGTGTGGCAAGAAGCCAGGGGGTAATTCCGGCGCCATATTGACTTGCCGCTAAAGCGCGGGCGAACGCGGCATTTTAAAATTTCGAACTTCAAAAGTCGTTTTCGGAGGGAAAAACGGCTCGGAAAAATCTGAAAAAAATACTGCGTGATCAGGAGACAATGTAGTTTCTGAAAATGCAAGAATTAGAAACAGGTTAACAAGCTCATTGGGAGCTTGATGTACTTATCAGTCTGCACAAGACCTGACATTTCGTATGCAATTAGCTATCTCAGCCAATTTAACAAAAATCCAACGCCAGAAATGTGGCAGCAAGCTAAGCGCGTATTGCGATACCTCAAAGGTACAAAAGAGAAAGGGTTGCTTTACAAGAAATCAGAAAATTCAGATGTAATTATTTTCACAGGATTTATTGATGCCGATTGGGCAGGAAATCTTGAGGATGGTAAGTCTTATACTGGATATGTGTATAAAATTAACGATAACACTGTTTCATGGGAAGCGAGAAAACAGAAAACTGTTGCTTTATCATCAACAGAGTCAGAATATTACGCCGTATCCGAAAGTGGCAAGGAAGGGTTGTTTCTAACAAATCTTTTCACTGAAATTTTTAACGAAAAGTTCAATCTAAAACTGATTAATGACAATCAAAGTGAAATTAAACTCCACAAAAATCCGAAATTCCATAGTAGGACGAAACACATTGCTGTCAGACATCATTTCCTGAGAGATTTAATCCAAGAAAAAGTTTTATCGTTAGAGTATCTGCCAACAGAGGAAATGGTGGCAGATATGCTGACAAAACCACTGACACCAGCGAAGCATATGTTTTGCCTAAACAAAATAATAACCTGATAATTTTGTTTGAAAGAAAGTAATAATTGAACTTCTGTTGTAAATTTGCATTAAGATTCAAAAAAAAAACAGAAATAATTTTTTTTTGTTGTAACTAGAATAAGAAAAAATAACTAAACTTAACAAAACAATTTTGTAAGACGAGGCTAGGGAGTCTCTCGTAAGGAGACTGTAGGGAGTCTCTCGTNTTCATCCCAGATTAATTGATTGAAAATTGAATGATAGAAAACAAAATGAGTAAGTTCAAAACAACAGATAAAGGACAGATACATGGAAGCAACATACCAGGGAAGAGGAATGCACTTAACTGCAGAAGAACCTTTCATAAATTAGTTTTCAATGGACAAGTATTTAATAGAACAAGTTTCTAAAAATAATTTTTTTTGGGTCAATTGAACTAACAGATTTCTTATGAGCCCAAATCCAAGTTTCAAGAAAAACTGTGTCATTTGGCATGTGCTCGATCTTTTGAGTCTGGATAATGTATGCGTCGGAGAAATACCTACTGAAACTAAGCTCAAAAGATTGAACGCGCGCCAAATGGCATTCCTTCCTCCGTTTTTCTCAAAAATTGGGATTTTGGCGCTTGGATCTTCAAGAAAAATATCGGTTTAATTTTCAATTTTTAAGATTGAAATATTCAATTAACCTAAATCGATCTTCAATGAATCAGTTATTGCACTTTTTTGTTTCCCTTCATCAGCTTACATCATGAGGATGAAACCGCATCATCTCTTCATAATGATTTACACAAGAGCTTTTTCCGTTATTTACTCTGTGACCACTTCAAGCATTACAGATTATCATTAGATGTTAAAAATCGAGTTTATAAGAAAATTTTTGACACGCAATTGCCTGTAAAGCTTACAAAAGCCACAGTGTAAATAACAGAAATATTCAGTATAGTCCATCCATCATTTCATCGATTCCTTGATTAATTTCTGATGTATTGATAAATGGATCGAATTTAGCAGAGGAAAACCAACACGATTACAGTGTATTCAAAATTGTTCAGACTCCTTCATTGCTTAGAATATTACAAATATGTAAAGGAATAAAATTTACACTGGCGTTTTCTTTTGCAATTTACAATTTTTGGTGGAAAAACAAAAACTATTCGTTATACGAGGCATTTTATTAGGATAAAGATGTAAACGCATAACTGTAACACTGCTGAGATTGAATCTCTCAATTTGAAAACGACCCATCTTGGAAAAATGGAATTTTTCACGAGACGATAAAAACTTCGTAACAGCCAGAAAAGGAGTGTTTCGACGCAAAAGGTTGATCATGGTTCATGGCATGGACCCAAGTTGGGTCGTTTTTGAACTGAGAGATTCAATTACTCTGGTTCCCTTCTGCAAGAAGTAATGTACGGCCAAATCCTGGCTTTTGATTAGTTAAAAAGCACATCACATCTTTTTAAATCGAAAAAGGGTTTAAGGTAACGAATCAATGATCAATGAGTAAATGGGGTTGACTCCCTTACGAAAAGGAAAGAGATAACATACTTCACAAAATTACTATTTTTTCTCTAAAAAATCTAAAAAATGTATCAACAGTGCACTCACAGTTAAGAGTAATAATCCAAAAGGACTGCTACTTTAAGTCAAACCTCTGATTAGTAAAAAGAATTCCACCCTGTGATGGAGAAATTATGTTGAGAGTAGAGAACAGAGGTTTCCTTTGCAAATATTTTATTAAAGGTCATGAGTTATTCTTTAACTTAGACTCTGTAGGTAATTGACATTTCGAGGATAATGCGGTTTCAACTTAGAAAACAAAGTGCATTGGTTTTGCAAACTAAACTGATTAAACAATCTTAACAAGGAAAATTGATTTTCAGCAAATACAATCGGAACATTGACAGCATCCTTAAAAAATGAAGCATAGATCAACCAGAAAAGCTCTTGTACATTTGGAGAGTAAATAGTTTTTGGTAAAATATAATTTCAAGATATTCTGGAATATACGACAATGGGAATCACAAAATAAGTCTTATGCATTCCAATCAATTATCTTCAACGCCTGCAAAAATTGAAGGAATGAAGTAGAAAAAAAGAAAAAAGAATAATGGGATACTTCCCTTACGGTTCACTACCTTTTAGATTGATTTTTTTCATTTCACAGCTTGTTAAAGGTTTGCCTCCTGGAAGTAGTTACATCCTGAAATGGGAATTTTGTTTTAAACTTGTTGATCTCATGAGGCCAATAGATTATGGTCGACATGGGAGCATACTTTTCTATATAATGAAGAAATCAGCCTCTTGATTCACTGAAATTTCGCAGAAAATCTCTGAGACGCACATAGTCTGCTGCATTATCTTCAGAGTATAATTTTTCATTCGACTTTGCAATCTGAAAAGAACGACAAAAACTGATTGAGCAAAAGTTCGGAAAAGAATAAGAGGATGATGCAATTGCTTTTGTCACAAAATCATATTTTAACGATTGACTCTTAAAGATTAGCAAAAATTGAGGGTTGTTCGGACACTAAGTTTCAGTAGGCAATCTTAATGGCATGACTGTATGAAGGGAAATATTTTTTCAAGTTTATTTCAGAGAAACGAGATCACTCGTAGATTTTAAAACAGACCCTGGATGAATATTCAGGGTATTCAAGGAAATAGTTTCACCCCTGTACCTTGGAAATGGTTTGAATGATCTTGAGCACTGACACTTAGTCTGATCAGTTTTGAAAGAGGTAAAACTTGTCTTGGACAGCCCAAAATGTGAGACGAGGTCAAGAATGAATTCAAAATTATCAGAGGGTAATCTTTGACAGTCTTGGAAAACATCGATAAAACATAGTAAAGGGTAAACATGTCTAACACCATCAAAGTTAAAAAATTTCAAATTTATGGTACCACTACTTTGAACTGATGAGAAACCTCTGGTTTTCATCTGGTTCTGGTTTTATCCCTGTCTGTTTTTTCCCACCCAATGCAGGCTTTCAAATTTGAGGAGGAAGAGAAGACACTCAGCCAAGAGTAAATGCTGCTTCCTCTTGTACAAAAGAAAAAAAGCTTACTTACAGATTACTTCCCAGACATGAGTGTTTGCGTCTTGAACCTTGCGAGTTTACATTAACTCAAGAAAATAGTCGAACTTTGCAGTCGGACTTCCCTATAAATGAATCATTTCAGATTATTAATATTGGCTATGGGTACAAACGGTAAAACTTTAAGATGATAGTAACTTTCTACTAATCCATTGCTCTCTACATAAGGGTGTAAAAAAAACTTGCGTAACATTAGCGACTAGCACAAAAAATTATTGTAATCAATTGCTACGATTTAAAAATTTCATCACTTATTTTTATAAACTAGTCAACAAGCTGAATAAAATCACTCAATCAAGAAAAATACATAGCTAAACAGGGGTAAAACTGATAACAAATCTTGAACTTGAAAAACTACAAAAAGTATTGCATTACGAAGTAAATTGACCAAAAAATTGTATGGTTCTAAGTCTCTTTTGTAGTTGAATTTAAGCATTTTTATTTCTTTCGATACAAACTCATCAACTGGGTGAAAATTGCGACTGGAATTAAAAAAAGGATCTGCTTTTGATGAATTGTTTCTCTTTGGCCGCAGATGGGACAAATAACAAGAAAAGGGACCAAATTTCATGCAGGCAGTTTGCTTCAAGTCATCGAAGCTACGACTGCTTCAGTCTCTTCTCTTCCTCCATGCCTTCAATAAATTTTACTTTCAAAATCTATTGAATGTGTTCCCTGGTTATAGTTACGAAAACTTTAACTATTGCATGATTAGTAGACTCCCAAGTTTTAAAATAAACTTTTTTTCAGACATTAAGTTTCAAAGAGTTAACTTATTGACTGGAGAAGACAAATGGGATGCCCCAAGTGAGGGAGGCGACACAGAGATAAACAGAATATGGGGGATGCCAGCTCCCACAAGGGTAGAGCGCCAGAGAGCATTATAAAATCAGCACTTATAATAAGGCGTACAGCTGAAATATTATTCCTTCTAAAGGTAAAATAGTATTCAAAAGTCTGAGCAGGGTGCTTATTTATTTAAGAACCTATCTAATCAAATAGAGCGGCTCATAGCGCTTCCTACAAAATTGACACTCTTTCAATAATTTTGTTACAATCAACAATTTCGAACTGCGAAAACATGATGTCTGAGACATTCACAAAAAAATTATTTGACTTTCCCTCGTGTTCTGCATTTAACATGGGACATTTCCTCATATTTTTCAAAGAGTAATTTTGTGAGATGTACCCATTTATTTTAAGAGTGACCTAAAAAGTCTCCATATTCCCTCACCAGGGTGTCTACTAAAACAGGCTGACCAAAAATCAGTACTTTATCAGTACTTTCCCAAGAAATTCATTACCTCCTCAACAGAAAAATTCAGTACTTTTTCAGTACCTCCATTTGACGAAATTCGGAAAATTTGTGTTTCCTGCTCAAATCGTGATAAAAATGACAAAAGAATGAAAAAATTCCAGACCTTCTCGCAAAATTCTGCACTTTTTCAGCACTTCCGGACTGCCCGTTCAAAATCAGTACTATTTCCGGACTAACTGGACTTGTAGACACCCTGCTTACGAAGTTTTAACTGTCCAAATTTCAAAAGAAAACGATTCAAATTAAAAGTTTTCAAGTGTACCTAGCTATAAGAACCCCAGAACAGCACTGAGGTTAGGATAACTTTCTCCTGTTCCACTTACAATTCGCTCTAGTTTGGCTCTCGATACTTCTTCCGCCCCCAGCGGCATCCACATTTTCACCTCATTATCCAAGCCACTTGTTGCCAGGAATGGAAATGCAGGATGAGGCTCTAGTGTGTTCACCTGGAAAGTGAAAATTTAAACATTGAAAGCAATTTTTAAAATCTGTTATTTTAAAAGTTCTTTTCTTAAGATTAGTTGCATAAAGCTGAACTTGTGTTGGGGATAATGTAATGTATCGATACGCTAAAAAATAACAGGAGAATATCATATTGATACTCCACTGTCAATATATTGCCTGCTTTAATATTTTGAATAAAAGACTAATTTATACTGCCGTGCTAAGGAAGAACGCTGTACGAGCCTTCAGGCGTTGCCAAGTTTTCTTTGATAAAGTACGAATTTATTGGGAAATTTTTAAAAATTTTGCTCCCAATTTTTCAGACAATTTTGTTCGTCATTTAATCTAAAATAACTGGAAATCTCAATGCATAACTTTCCTCAAAAATGCATGTTTTATACAGGAAAAGTTGGCAACTGTCGAATGTTCATACGACGTTCTTCCTTAGCACGGCAGTATAACTTATATCAACGAGAAGCTGCTAATTTTGTGCCCATTTTTTAGATATTCATTGCAAGTTAACTTTCACTAGTTCTTTTTTTATTCCATTGAAATATCTGTACATTTGTTGATAGAAAAAGTTTCAAAAAATATTAAATATTTGTTCTACTACTAATCTGATTTTTTCAGGCCATCAAATCTGAAAAATTCGGTGATGGCTCATTATTTCAATGGGAAAACTCTAGAGCCCGATACTTACATTGCTAAAATCAAGCTCGAAAGGAAATGAAGTGACTTAACAGTGCCCGACTTCAGTGTTAGGAGCGACAGAGTGGGCAGAGTTTTACAGAAACGCACCAAGTCTCATTTTAGAAAAAAGTAAGTTTGGAACGGTTTTAAATTCAACCAGTTCTGAATCTTTTCCTGTTAAGAATTCAAAGTCGAGAGAACATATATTAAAAGTAAAAACAGTCGTTAAACTTTGTCCTTAACATTGGGTCTTATGGAAGTATCTAGTCTTCTGCAGCTCTTTTCTGCGGTTCAAACTTGATACAACTGGGTACGTTTCTATTAAACTTCTACTTCTGACATTGATAAGCAATGCCTACAAATGAGTAGTGCGAAGGTTTTGATAATTTCTACGTGCCAAATTTCTGATTTCTTTAACTGTATATCCGTCGGTAGGTTTGAAATCTCAACTTTTCACCACCTCTTGTGTTTTAGTGTATTTTCCAAAGAAGATTCACTATTTTTTTTAATGTTTTTGTTAAGCTAATGTTTATGAGTTGCAGATAAATTTGAAGTCAGATGCAGTTTATGGTAAGATTTATTTTATATAGTTCAGGTCCCACTCGATAAAATTAGAAAGATTTCTAAATAATTTGCCTCGTAGGAGGATAAAAAGATTTACTAAAAAGAGAGGTAGGAAAGCATTGCGAGACAATTATTGCATCCAATAAAAATTGAATTTGATATTAAACTCGGCTGTTGCCTTGCAATGCTCTCCTACTTCAATTACTTTAAAGTTGCTGATAGTCTTGATATTTTTGATGTTTTGTAGGTGAATATTCTTTTTTTTCTGATGAATACTTCTACTGCTCTATTTCTTCTAGTTTTTTTTAAAATTTGTATTAGTTTTCTTATATTTTTCTACTTCTATTATTTGTGTATGTTTATCCTGATATATAATATTTAGTAATCATTCAGAGTGTCAGAAAAACTAGTTTCAATAAAAACACCCAAAATACGGTATTAAAAAAAAAAATTGAAAGTTTATTTACAAATAAATACTTATACAGTAACAAAAAATCAACAATAATAAAAAAATATTTACATATTTACAAGAACAAGTTCAAGAGAAAAAATTACACTGTAAAAGTAAATAATTAGTTATTGTTGAAATTAATTTCACTAGGAACAATTTGTGGCACATTATTAAACATTGAGCTCTAAATCAATGGATGCATTATTTCATTTTTGAAGCTTAGTCCTAGAAATTTTCACAATGTTAGGAGATCTTTACGAAGGTTTCAAAGGTGACTTTAAGCACTTTAGTCAATCTCTTCAATTGTGGGTCCTCCGTGGCCTGGCATTCCGCCTTGTCCTGGCATTCCATATCCTGGCATTCCACCTTGTCCCGGCATTCCGTATCCTGGCATTCCACCTTGTCCCGGCATTCCGTATCCTGGCATTCCACCTTGTCCTGGCATACCGCCTTGTCTGGACATCCCTTGACCACCGGGCATTCCTTGACTGTTCTGACCACTTTGGTGCATTTTGCTCATGATGGGAGAGCATTTCTTCTGTAGTTCTTGCAACTTGTAGTTGAATTCCTCCACATCGGCTAGTGTGTTGTTGTCCAGCCATTGCAGGGCAGCTTGACACTCTTCCTGGATTGATTGCTTATCAGTTGCACTCAGCTTATCGCCTGCTTCTTCAGCTGCCTGCTTGACGTTGAAGATGTAGCTTTCAAGCTGGTTGCGTGCAGCTACTTTGGCGCGCTGCTTGTCATCTTCCTCCTTGTACCGCTCGGCCTCGTTGACCATCCTGTCAATTTCCTCTCGCGAAAGTCTGCCTTTGTCATTTTTGATGACAATGTTTCGTTCTCTGCCTGTGCTATTTTCCTTGGCAGACACATTCAAGATTCCATTTGCGTCAAGATCGAATGTTACATCTATTTTCGGCACACCGCGAGGTGCTGGTGGGATTCCTGTCAAGTCGAACCGACCGAGCAGATTGTTGTCCTTGGTCATGGCTCGTTCTCCTTCATAGACCTGAATTGTCACAGCTGGCTGGTTGTCCGAGTAGGTCGTGAAAGTTTGTGATTGCTTGCATGGAATTCTGGCATTTCGTTCGACTATTTTTGTCATTACCCCACCGGCTGTTTCAATTCCAAGTGAGAGGGGTGCTACGTCGACAAGGAGAACATCTTGGATAGCTGAGCTGGTATCACCGCTGAGAATCGCTGCTTGAACTGCTGCTCCGTAAGCCACGGCTTCATCAGGGTTGATGGAAAGATTCAGAGTTTTTCCACCGAAGAAGTTCTGGAGAAGAGATTGAACTTTGGGAATTCGCGTGGAGCCTCCAACCAACACAACATCATGGATTAAGCCTTTGTCCATTTTGGCATCGTTGAGAGCTTTCTCGACAGGATGTAGAGTCGAGCGGAATAAGTCTGCACAAAGTTCTTCAAATCGCGCTCTTGAGACCTTGGTGTAGTAGTCGATGCCATCCATCAGAGCGTCAATTTCAATGCTGGCTTCGGTACTTGAGGACAATGTTCTTTTGGCCCGCTCTGCTGCTGTGCGAAGTCTTCTGAGAGCACGGGGGTTGGTTCGGAGATCTTTTCGATATTTACGCTTGAACTCCTCCACAAAGTGATTGACGAGTCGGTTATCGAAGTCCTCACCACCAAGATGTGTGTCGCCGGCAGTTGCTCGCACTTCAAATAGTGAGCCCTCGTCGATGGTAAGGATGGAGACGTCAAATGTACCTCCACCAAGATCGAAAATGAGAACGTTTCTTTCGCCTTTCAGGTTCTTATCCAATCCGTAGGCAAGGGCTGCAGCTGTGGGCTCATTGATGATGCGGAGAACGTTCAGTCCTGCGATGGCTCCTGCGTCCTTGGTTGCTTGACGCTGAGAGTCATTGAAGTACGCTGGAACTGTGATGACTGCATCTTGAACTTTTCCACCCAAGTACGCCTCAGCAGTTTCCCTCATTTTCGTAAGCACCATGGAGCTGATTTCTTCTGGGGCGAACCGTTTAGTTTCACCTTTGAATTCGACTTGAATCTTCGGCTTACTGCAATCGTTGACAACAGTGAATGGCCAGTGCTTCATGTCAGCTTGAATTATAGGATCGTCAAATTTCCGTCCGATGAGGCGCTTGGCGTCGAAAACGGTGTTCTTGGGATTCATCGCAACTTGGTTCTTGGCCGCATCACCGATTAGTCGTTCAGTGTCTGTGAATGCCACATAGCTGGGTGTCGTTCGATTGCCTTGATCGTTGGCAATGATCTCCACTTTTCCTTGCTGCCACACACCGACACACGAGTAGGTGGTTCCCAAGTCAATTCCAATTGCTGGTGTTTTTCCGGGCATGTTGAACACTCTTTCACTTATCACTGCACACAAAATCTATAGGACAACACAGATGATTAATACTCGCGAAAATAAACACGTAGGATGGCGCAGAGATTAAACTGTATCGCACTGTGGGTTAACTGTAGCGCCCGTTTGAAAAAACCGCTTTGAGAAAGATCGCTTTGGATTGGAGCACTTGATCGCTTTCTGATTCAATACTGGCCCGGTAGAGGCAGCACCCGCCTTTATATACCCGCGGCGGCTGAGCGGTCTGTACGGCGGGTTGCCGTGGAAACTTCGCGAAGGCTCTAGAGTGTTCGATACCTCGTTCGCGAGCGTACGAGAGAATTCGATTTTTTCTACGCGTTCCATGGCGAAGCGATGCCGCCGCTTGTCCGAAGCGTCGGGAATGTTCGGGAACGCTCGAGAAACTTCGGCCGCGTTCCCCTCTCCCTTCCTCTCCCCGCCCCATCGCCAGGCAGCTCAGTTCACGGTGAAACGGAGGGTCGGCGCGGCGCACAGTGGTCCGAACCGCCAGGTGCGGTCGGACATGAATTTGATCACTATAACTGAAAATTTTGATGTTTAATCCGTCACAGTTCCAATCTGAGGGGTGTTTCAGGAAAAAAGTAATGGGACAAATGTAAAATTAAACCGTTCCGCATCAACGAAAATAAAATATTTTAATGTTTCCCCTAACGTCCGACCTTTCCCACTAATTCGCCCTAATGTGCGGCGGGCGCCGGCGTATATTGCGATCGCGATTATTTCAATTTTTTTTTTTTTAATTTATTTACTTATTTACGTGATTGAAATTTGTCAATTTCATTCAATTATTTTTTATTTTTCATTTTATAATACTTTACTATTCTCCTATCCCATTTTATTCCTGCATCAAAATTAACTTCTGATTTTTTTTTCTCTCTCATTTCAATTAAATAAGTCTTTTGGCATTTATTTTTTTTCAAATCAACTTTCATTTTTACTACCTACTTTTTACTTGTGAAACCTTTTCTAGTTTTTTTTTATACATACACTGAAAAAATTTTGAGAAATGATAGAGAAGAGTACTTACAACGCCTCGATCATCACCCGGCATGCACTGAACGATGGCTTCCGTTTCCTTCTCCCAAATGAAAATATTACCACAGTCGGAACCCGAAACAATGTATTCACTTGATGGCCCATAGAAATTGACACCTTTAACTACACAAAGCAATAATATCAATCATTAATTTAACTCCAATCAAAATTTTTTAACATTTTGGCCTTGCTACCCCCTGTAAAAAAGTATGGACAGCAATATTTTACCTTCTTGTTACGTGCAGTTTGGGCCACATTTTTTAGGTTTTTCTCACTTATGAACATAACTGTAATGTTTCATAGGAAGTACCAAAAGTTAGACACTTTGAAATTAAAGACCTTACACCATTCCTGATACTAAAAATGAATTACGACTAAAAATGACTACTATGTATAGATTACATTTCATGAAAATTCACCCAAACTTTTGCTAAAAATTTGGGGGAAAGATTATTTACAAAACTTTGGGGAGATTTTGGCTCCGACAGTGAAGCAATGCCAAAGCACTACTAAGTTGTTCAATAGGCCTGTTGCATGCAAGAGCTACAGCCAAATAAATAAACTCTTAATGGGTAAAATCGCACAAAAATGACGTTGGGCACATCAAAAAAGTCTGAGATGCATTCCTCAGGAAGCAATCTGCGTAGTTAGTGACCCGTTCTTTCAAGTTTCCAGCGCCTGCGGATAGTCTTCCTCAGTCACATTCGACCAAATTTGCACAGGCAGAAGGGTAAGAAAAACTAACCTGAGCAAACAATTTATTTCACTAACTTTTTCCATTGTTGGATTTTAATCGTTTTCAAGCATTTCTTACCTTTTACTTATTTTATTTTGCAAAAACAAAAACTTTGAGCAAATTTAAATCTTACGAAAGGAGAGTTTATAACAATTCGCGAGATTGTTTGCTTAGGGTGGGTCTCCCTCCGGACAAACCTGACAATATACTGGCCACCAAGAAAAGCTGCTCGCATACACGATAAATTTGGAAAATCATGTTACAAACTACGCAGGTTACGCACTGAGGAGTGGATTACATACTTTTTTTAGGTGTCCAATGTGATTTTCAAGCAAATTGCGCCTTAAAAAAAATATTCGGTTGGTTGAATCTTTTGAGTGCAACAGAACCATTCAAGTTTCCTGAAAACAGAGGTGACCTAGAGTTCTTGGACTTGGATAGCTAAAAGCTGAAAGAGCACTTACTTGTTACACAGTTTTGATGACCTTCATAACAATGAACAAATTCTCCTGGAGTAGTTTTTGTTGCATCAAAGAGGTAGATACTCTCATAATTATACGAAGCAAGAATTTCAGTCCCATTATGGTTGAAGACAGCTGACGTTATGTAATGACTATGCCAATTATATTCACCCTGAAATAATGCAGTTACAATGAAGTGATGATTGAAAACAATGATTCTCTCTCCTTGTTGTTGATTTTGAAAGAGAACACTACTTCAAATGCTTACGACAGAATAGAAAGCCTAGACATCCCATCTCAGTACCGTGGACTTTTCAAGACAAGAAGCATAAGAATTTCTGTGCTAGAATATCAAAAGTGAAACTATCAGACCACAAATCTTGTTTGCTGTGTTTAAAAATCTCCGCTTTCATTTTATTTTCTGAAAGGAAGACAATCAATATCATTCCTTGGACGTATCACAAACTTTTTTTCGTTCAGAGAAGAAAAATTACGGAAGTTTGCAAGAATTGACGTTAGTTTTCCATTTAAAAGAGAAAGTATGACAGGAAGTCTGCAACACGGCAAACCGAGATATGTGGTCCGGTAGTTTTGCCATCCATAAGTTTAAATATGTACATAAAATATCCACAGCTTTTCTGTTTTCTCTCTCTTTCACTTATCTTACACAGTATAAAATGTACAGTTTTGGCTCATACTCCATAAATGCTTAGGACGAGATAAGGCGAAAATTTTTACAGATTTTAACAACCTCCTGGTTATTGCATTATTTAAAAGTAGCCATGGAGGAATTTTTTTCAAAAATCATTTTTACACAATGGAATTGTTTGCCGGCCAAACTGTGGTTTCTCTTCAGCAAGAGATGGAAAAAAGTTGAGAATTCAGAATTCAAATAATATTTGCCAAGCCAACAAATGGGTGCATATATCTGTGCCACAACAAGCGCATCCTAGATGCTTTGCATGGGTGTATTGGTGAGCAAGTTGTTTCGTAAGTCAAGAGGAAAATAGGGCAACTGCAACTAGTTCTTATGTTTCACCATTAAATAGAGCACATATCATTTATTTGGGACGCAACAAGAAATAGCCCTGCATAATGTTTAGGACAGGATATACTGAAAGATATTGCAACGAAGCTCTTTTATACTTAAAGGATATGATTTCTTTGCGCACAAAGCACACTTACTAAAGTATGAGGGTAGAATTTCATGACAGGTTTGTGGTCAGTTGGTATTTTTCGCATATCATACAAACGAACTGACCACGCCTGGCCTGCAACGATGAACTGATGAGGATTAACTGGATTCACGCTAATACTGTACAATAATTCTATTTTTTGGTTCTTTTCTACTACTTTCAACAGCCGCCTACAAAAGAACAGGATTTTATAAATCAGTTAATTTATTTAATAGATTATCACAGTATATAACAAGATAAAATAATCAAATCCAAACTGGAGTTTATGTCTGATTAGTTGGCAAAGTTTTAAAGTGCGGTGCATCTGCTGATTTCTCTTCTGTATTGAGACTAAATGCAAGAGTTAAAATGGAAGATCTAAAAAGTCATTACAGACGTCGGTCAACTTATTTAGTGTTAACTCTGTAGTACTTTGAGACATTTGTTCACAGTCAAATTTTGCGTCAAAACATCTTGAATAATAAGTTCAAACGTTTGGTCATTGCGTTCTTGAAAATATGATACAGATATTTAACAAAGATACAATAAAAAATCACCATCGAAAAATGGAATCACTTGGGTAACGCTTCATCCTGTCCACAGTTCATGGACACCATGAACAAAAATCTCAAATTAGTGTGTTCAAACTATCCACGTTCGTGGACTCCACGAACATAAATTTAATTTCAAATAACTGAATAAATTTGGCACCGTGCATAAGCTTGTACAAGTTCCAAGTTTTTTCAAGTTCAAGTTTAAAAGTTTGGAGTTCACGAACCAAGTTTTCACAAATTACTCAAAGCTGTGCTTACACATGACGTATAATAAGGACTTGCAACTTTTGAAGAAAACTTTAGACTTTTAAACTTGAACTTTTAAAAACTTGGAACTTGTACAAGCATATGCGCGGTGCCAAATTTATTCAGTTATTTGAAATTAAATTTGTATTCGTGGAGTCCAGGAACGTGGATAGATTGAACACTTTAATTTAAGATTTTTGTTCGTGGTGTCCATGAACTGTGGATAGAATGAAGCTCATCATAAATAACGGGCTAAAAGCAAAAAAGTTGATTTCAAATTATTCATTTTTATTTTTGAAAACTGCTATGGAGCAAATCACTGATGTTTTTATCACTCATTGTTTTTCTCGAGTCAAAAACAAAAGAAAAACGCTACATATTCACAGGCTAAATTCTCCCGAGCTTAATTGACTCCTTTCAAGATTCATACTCCTACTAACGTGCTATCTTTCTCTGAATTATTAAATGTTAAGGCCATAAACTAAGTTTCTCATTACGTTTCTGGGAAAAATAAACCTTCGGTGCCATAAACCTGACAATTATAATATTGGTACCACTCTTTGTAGACGCTTTTTTGGAACTTATGGGAGAATATAAATCTAACCAAACCAGTTAAGCCGAAGTCCAAATACCACAATTTTCAGTTCGTAATTTGAAGAGGTATTTGAGGGATTAATTTGCCATATTTGAAGCTTAAAATTGCTAGATAATGAAGAACCTTCTAAGCCTTTTATTAGTAGATAAAGAGACTAGCTAGCTGGTCTCATCTTTTTTAGGATACGACTGAGAGTTCCTCATGAAAATTAGAACTTTAATTTTCTCTCTTCGCACGCCTGTCTCTTTTCTTGTAGGTAGTTAACTCGTTTCGAGAGAATAAATTGTAGTGTGTTTTTTTTTTTTTATCACAGATAGGACATACGTTTATAACCAGAGTGCAAAAATATGATTAACTCATTAGAATTTTTAAATATCCAGGACATAGCTCTCCCAATTTTGTTTCCATTTTTGGAGAACTTTGCAATGTGACATGAAAAACACATTAGAGAGGTAAAACAAAGACGAGACTTACGTCTTCATACTTGAAGAGTCTTTTCTGAGGTCAACAGAGTTTACGATTCCATCTTCTCCACAACTGAGAACTATGTGTGGGCTGTCTGGAAGAGTTGCAATTTTGTGGACAGGGCGTGAATGCCGAACTAAAAGACGTGTTTCTGTTTCTCGTCCAGAGGAACCTAATAATGCTAGCCGTACTTGACCATCTCGTCCGCAAGTCACAACATGAGTATCAGCAGTATGCGGTAAAAATTTCACCTGTAAAAATCGTTTGTAGAATTTGTTCAAAACAAATTGCTTTCTCTGGTAGATATTAAGTTGCCTAATCCAGATAGTTCAGTCACTGCACATCTTTTTTGAAACATTGTAGCCCATGTGCCATAGAATTGGCTCATCTCGAAATGATTCCATAAAAAATGCATTGCACTTAGACTTGCACTGTCAATGATCTAACCTAACCATGTATTTGACATAAAGTGCACTTAGAATTAAGGGATGCTGACTACAGGTGCTCTTCACAAAATTTCCTGCTGCATTTCGAACTTGTTTGCTGCCAAAATGGTCATGGTGGCCGATTTTTTTTTAATGGAGCTGGACCAAAATGCTCAGAGGTGCTGCCTCCAGTCCTTTAAGATAAATTGCAAAGTACTGGTTACGTATCTAACCAATAGGAAATGCCAGCGGCAAGACAATCTGCTGAGACCTTGGTTTCAAGCGTTTAAAGAGGTTGTTCCATCTACCATTGAAACTGGGCCCAGAATGAAATCTCCTCATCTTTTCAGGTATCAAAGGGCATGGTCAGGGACACCCAAAAATGGTTGAATTATTTCCAAATTCCCCCCTGGGGAGGGGGGGCGGGGGGTTATGTGAAAAACGGTTTTTTGGCTATAACTTTTGAACGGTTTGAGATATTGATTTGAACTTTTTTTTAAATGAAAGGTCGTTTAAAGAGCTTTCTTTTGGTATATTATTTTTAATAGTTAGGTCAATTTTTGACCAATTTATGGCCTGTCAAAAATTTTCCATGAGTCCAAAAATCAGATTTCTGTAGTTTAGAGCAGCGACGATCGCATGCAGATGAACAAAAAACTGTTCAACTTATAGCCCTCTCTCTGACGGTTAAAATGAGCCCAAGATCATCTTGGGGAAACGATTTGTCTCCGAGTTATGCTTCTTCAAAGTTGGCGCGGCGGGGTCCGCTTCCGCGGGGCAGCGCTCCGGAGTACGATAGTTCACTCCCACCCCCCTCCCGTCATGCCACGCGACGCAAACCGAGGAAGACTACCTTTAATGATCATTTGAACAGATAAATGCACACAATATACGCTATTATGTTGTACAAGTATTATTAAAATTATATTGAAAACGCTCTATAAAATGAGAAGCAATATACCTGGATCCGGCAATTTGTTTGACGACTATCGCATAGTGTCTGCGATACATAATTTATATTTTCAACGCCTGCAAAGTGATGGTGACGACGCAAAAATTGCCATTCAAATGCTCCAAAAATTAAATGAGCCGAATATTGTGCAACAAATTGTTGAGGACGAGAAATGGCTCCGAACAAAAGTGGTTTTTGAAAAACCTGACGACAGATCATTTTAAACAATTAGAACAGTGGAGGAGCGAAGATCTTGACACCCTCTCGGGAAGTTATCAAATTTGACTTGCAGCAAGTTATATTGCAGACCATTTTGCTAATGGAAAATATTGCTTTCAAGTGACGAAGGATAACTTTTTGCCAGATTTTCAAAAATATGATATTTCCGTAAATTCGCCTCTTTTTCTTCGATCGCGGATCCTATCGAGGCATAAATCCAAAAAAGAATATCATATATTTATATTAATCGACACCAGTAAAAAATCCAGCGAGGCCATTAAAGCAAGTTACTGCACATGTAATAACGGTGCGCGTACCATCAATCCTTGTGCTCACGTCGTAACTATACTGTGGTATTTGTTTTTCGGGTGCTATCACAAAAAACCAGCGCCTTCAGCCTTTTTGAACGAGTGCTTCCCTCTCAGAAAAGTCGATTTTGGCTTTTCAGACGACGAAGATCAGGATGAAAATGCGGATCACACTGCCGATGATCCTATGGATTGCGGTGATGATAAATTCGGTGAGATTCCACTCTTCTATTTATTATATTAATATAATTTTAATAATACTTGTACCACATAATAGCGTATATTGTGTGCATTTATCTGTTCAAATGATCATTAAAGGTAGTCTTCCTCGGTTTGCGTCGCGTGGCATGACGGGAGGGGGGTGGGAGTGAACTATCGTACTCCGGAGCGCTGCCCCGCGGAAGCGGACCCCGCCGCGCCAACTTTGAAGAAGCATAACTCGGAGACAAATCGTTTCCCCAAGATGATCTTGGGCTCATTTTAACCGTCAGAGAGAGGGCTATAAGTTGAACAGTTTTTTGTTCATCTGCATGCGATCGTCGCTGCTCTAAACTACAGAAATCTGATTTTTGGACTCATGGAAAATTTTTGACAGGCCATAAATTGGTCAAAAATTGACCTAACTATTAAAAATAATATACCAAAAGAAAGCTCTTTAAACGACCTTTCATTTAAAAAAAAGTTCAAATCAATATCTCAAACCGTTCAAAAGTTATAGCCAAAAAACCGTTTTTCACATAACCCCCCGCCCCCCCTCCCCAGGGGGGAATTTGGAAATAATTCAACCATTTTTGGGTGTCCCTGACCATGCCCTTTGATACCTGAAAAGATGAGGAGATTTCATTCTGGGCCCAGTTTCAATGGTAGATGGAACAACCTCTTTGGCCAGTTTTTTGGACCTTACAAGAGCAATATCAGAAAAACACATTAACAGTGAATGTGCTAAAAATCTTTGTAGTTCCTGAGAAATTGTAATCACATCAATAAATTGAATAAGTGAAAATGAAAACACACCAACTCAGTAAAATAATGCTTGATCATTAAAGATGCCCAATTTTCATAGAGATCAATAAAGATGGCACATTTATTTCAAATTGGGCCTTTAAAATGTCTTTGAAAGTAAAAAGCTTTCTTCTTAGACTAACTTTTTCATCTACTGGACAGCTTTCTGTGTATCTTGAACATTTCGACGGTGAAAGTCGGCAATCACATACAACGTCATCATCACATGCGACGTCGCAGACTTCCTGTCATACTTTATTCTTTAAACGGAAAACTACTCAACGGTAATTCCTTAAAACTGCCGTGATTTTTCTTCTATGTGCGAGGAAAATTCTGCAAAAACTGCAAGAAATCATGTCCATTTGTTCTCCTCTAAAAAAATAACATAGTTGCGGAGATTTTCAGACACCGCAAACGAGTTATGTGATTGCCGACTTGCACCGTCGATTTTGACTTTTTTGAGTTGGTGTGTTTTCAATCTTATTGATTCCATTAAGCTTGCAGACTTAATTGCTTCTTTTGGAATGAAACTGTTCTTGTATGCACCAAAATAAACTGCTCTTACATTGAAAACGTTGCTCCAATGGCCAGTCTCGAACTTGAGGTTGACTTTATTCTCCGCCCAGTTCCACATGATACATTTGCGATCGTCAGAGCCGCTGAGCAAGAGATCTCCACGCTGGTTGAAGTTGAGTGTATTGACACAACCCGTATGTTTGCTCAACTTGTGCGACAGCTGCAGTCTCTGTACAAAATGTAGTGATGCACTGCAACGCTGCTCGAAGTCCCGCGCTGCTTGCACTTTTGATGAATTTCTGATTTGCCTGAAAAAAGCAAGAAAACTTCGATATTACAAGCAAGCTTCAAGATAGAGAAGTCAAAGTTTCATCGCAAAATTTCTGAATTTTTTCTGAATTTTTGCAGTTGACTAAAATTTACTGAATTATTTAGGTTTTGCCTTGCTTATCAAGCATTTGTAACTCAATCGGTTTCCACAATCCTGCATCACTGCTCATACATTGAAAAGCTTGTCCTCTAGGCAGTAAGTATGTGCTACTTCTCTGTGTCACAAACCTGTGAAGAAACGTGCCAAGATCTTGCTCAATATTTATTATGCTGATACTTGAACTTAGAAAAAACGTATTTCAATAATTGCCTTTCAAAAATTTACCCTCATATTTCATTAGTTTATAGTAGTAATTTTCACAGAATATTCTTGAGATACAAGAAGAATATTCACAGAGAGTTTAAAAAAATTTGGATGATCAATTTTCCTATAAAAAATCAAGAAGTCTGCGACATTACTAAGATTCGTGATTTTCAAGATCCGACATCAATTTTCAGTTTTTGATTTCAACAGAAAAGTTGCAAAGAACACCTAAAATCACTTTTCTGGGGGAAAAAGGCGATTAAAATAGTTGAGCTATACAGAAAAACCTTGAGAAAAGAGTTCCAGAAATTAGAAGACGGTCTTCCCATGACTTAACTATGAAATACATCAGTTTTCTCTTGCTTCCACAGGGTGACTATTAAAATTTAATTTCGGACTTTTCTGATATTTTAAATGAATTTTCCTGATTTTTTGTGCGAATAATTTGTCACTCATTTTACTTCAAAAACCAAAATAAGTATTTCGTTAATTGAATCAAATGTTGCACTTTCCCATGTGCTAAACTGTATGTAGTTGTAAAGTTCTCTAATCACTTCTGATTGATGATCGATATTCCTGATATTTTCCCAATGATGTCACATTTCTTGATATCCTCTGATGGTAGACACCCTGTTCTATGTTCTGTTCCAATATTTCTGAAATATAAACTAAAATAAAATAAATTCTGCGGGGAATAAATAGATCAAAACGTACCTATTGATGAATTCCTGGACGCAGAACCACTTATGCTTGGGTCCTGGCTTCAGGAGATTGATATCACGATTCTTTTCTGCCGTCGAGAATCCCCCGGAGTATCCTGGGAAATGATACAGCGCCCCAGCACGGCTGAGGAGGGATACGCCTGTGTCTGACATATCTGAGGAGGATGATGAATCTGAGAGGGAACCTAAATCGTTAAAATCTGAGGCTGATGAGGAAGAGGAGCTTGACGAACTTCCTTGCTCTTCTGTCGGAGAGGATGCTGAAACCAGAGAAAGTCAAGTGATGAAAAGTAGATACAATGTGAGAAATTCTAGAAAAGTTCCTTGAAATTTCTAGGATTTACTGTAATAACTTAAGGTGATTTGATGGACGCCATATTTTGTGTCAGAACGGCATAGGATACATCGCATCAATTGGTTCCATTTTTTCAGCTACTCGTCATTTTTCTCCAATTTTTAGATCGTAATTCTGTTGTCAGGAGACTAAAGCACTCACTTACCAATTTTAACAAAGAAATTCAACGTAATAAAGGCGTGGTTTTTTCAGAGAGAAAACATCGCATTCGATACTGATAGCGAAACTGCACTCGAATGCGATATTTTCTCTCTAAAAAAACCACGCCTTTATTACGTTGGATTTTTTTGTTAAAATTGGTAAGTGAATGCTTTAGTCTCCTGACAACAGAATTGCGATCTCAAAATTGGAGAATAATGACTAGTAGCTGAAAAAATTGAACCAATTGATGCGATATATAGCATGCCGTTCTGACACAAAATATGGCGTCCATTGAATCACCTTAAGATTATAGAGCTGGAGTAGAGTTTAAGAAACAGTGGCGCTAATCAGATATTTTTGGCCACACGACTGGGTTAAAGAGGTGCTTACTGTGTTTTGAAACGGACAATTTATTTCTTTTTTAAATGAAATGCAAGTTCAACAAACAGATCACTGAAATAGCCATTGGAAAATTTGCCGATTATCCATTCCTCACTCGGTAAGTATATCGGAAACAATTTCTTAGTCCCTCCACCTGGGAATTTCTAACACTGCAAATCAGCAGTATTGTTCTAAGGCAGTTGTGTGATGCATGATAGTAAATAATTCCTGGCGTCTCCGTTATGCCGAATTTGCTAAGGCTAGCCACCTGTGTGCTCTTCTGAGACCAGCTTACTTGTTTATTTTTACAATATTAAAAAAAAAATACGAAAGGATAAACTAAAATTGTCTAGCCGGGCAAAGGGAAACCTGCCGCTTTTGAGATTTTCATGCTTTCAAGCCAGCTTGCGATAGCTTTGAAATTGAATGGGCCTCCTATTTTCACGGTGAAATACGCATGTTTTTTGCAAAATCTCCATGACTTACGAACAAAAGAAAAAAAGGTGATAGCTTTAAAAATTTTGGAGAAAAAGGGGCTTTCGAAATGGGAGAGCTAGCTCGAAAAGCGAGTAGACAAGGAACTTCTGGCATCCTTAATACTTAGATTGCTTGGTTTTTGAGTTTAGGAATCTCATAAAGCATGGATGGTCCTGTCATACCAATTTGGAGGTCATCATCTTCGCTGTCTGATTCGATTCGGGCACGAAAATTGCGTGGCCTCTTCCTCGGCATGAATCTGAAAGTGGTGACTCGAATCACTCTGGCACCATCACTAACGCTACCACTACTGGCCTCTGAATCTGAGAGTCCTTCTTGTTTTGACTTGGACTCTTGTGTTTCACTAGTTCCTGCACTTTCCTCAGCTGTTTCTGCTCCAGGCCCCCTCTCACCCTCACTCCCACGTGCTGAGAGCTTGAGGCTATTTATCTCCGTTTCCACACAGTTAATATCTTCAACAGCGGGCACTTTTGTTGGGCTAGACTTTCCTGGAACGGCACTTGAGTTGTTAAGGCGAGTGAGTTTAGGTTCTGGTTCTTTGTCGGCATCTTCTTCTAGGTCCCGCAAAAACTGGTCTTCGAGACTCTCCCCAGGTTCAGATCCAGCAGGATCTCCTTTTTTATTGGAAGTATCCTCCATTTGACTCATGGAATGAATGGCAAGATAATAAGCTGTGGGTCTACTTGTCAGTCATCCATCTGAAACATGAGAGGGGTTATTAATAGGCGTTAAGATACAATGAAGATGAGACATGTGTTACAACCAACTTCAGAGCTGCTGTACATTTAAAATTAAGTAATACTTGTAAATAGAACAGTTGGTTAATAGATTAATTCTCTGAAAAGTCCATGCGATAATTTGGTTGGATCAACGGAATGACTGAAGGCCACATCAGCGCTCTACAATACGGGCAATGAATGCGAGCTCTACAATGAATCTCGGTAAAAATAGGTAAAGGAGCATGTTTTTATAATTTACCATCGTTGAGCAAAGATAAAATTGACCTCATTCAAAGTTTTCAAGGTGTTGATAAGTGATTTCTAACCTCCACCTGCTTAAAAGAGCATCAGCGATTATTGCAACTATGTCCGCACGACAAGACAAGATAAAGCCCTATCTTGACCATGAAATATTTAGCATTTGGATGTCTTGTCTAGCTGCTTTAAACTTTCAATGATCAACCTGCAGAGGGTAGTGAGCTTGCACGAGCCATGTGATGCAGTGAGATGCTTTAAACTTTCAGTAATCAGCCTGCAATTCATTTCAGTACCGAGAAGGAGTCAGCGGCCAAGTATTCAGGAGTACTTTTGCCAGTAACTATTCATAAAAAACTAGAGCCTCAAGACACATGTAGCATATTATTAAATTCAGGCATCAGGGAGAGAGGAGACCACTCAATCTGATATCTCTGAACCGTTCTTAGAATAAATTGGGAGAAAAGTGATTAGGTCATGGCTACGGTGCTAATTTGTCATTCCTAAAAATTTCAAACTAAATGGGAGTTATGAAAGGCAAAAACTTTGAGATACTCACGTCTGATGTGTTCAGCAGAGTTTTATTGACATTGTGGATCACATGTTCAGTGAACCCATTAGCGATTGAGAGAAGATAAGAAAAAATTGGCAGGATTCACGAAAATCGGCGCAGTAAGGGATACAACGATAGTGACTGACCACGAAATTATCATAGAAATATGTCTGTAAAAATTGTACAAAACTAGATTAAATTCACTAGGGGTATGAAGATGAAGATTCACGAATATGAAAGCCGCAAATATAAGTCTCATAAATTCTTATCGTTTTAAAAGATTCACTCTCTAATGTCCATTTTACGTGTTTCTTCTTGTTTACTTGGTTATGCGGTATTGACTGAATCAACCAATCACATTCGTTGTTGCACCTTCGCTGATAAATGATAAAAACACGTGATAAACAAGGCTGATAAAGGACTGATAAAAACAAAGACAGAGAAGATCACACACTGATGACTGAATTCAATTATTCAGAATTTCAGACTCAAAGATAAGTTACGAACGCCTAATTATTGATAGTTTATTAATTAAAGTATACACGATTTTCTTTTTGAAGCTGCGTTTGGAGTTAGTGACTGAACTTTAGGTTACATTGTGCTTTGAAACCAACATTTTCTCGTGCTCTTATCAGTTATCATCAGCAACCTCTGATTGTTTACCCAATGTGTCCTGGTATTATACACCTGACATTCAAGACATTGAATTTCCGCTTTCATGAACCAGACGATCAAGGATGTTTTTTGGTAAGAACAAGTATAAGTGCCAAGTTTTTCCCAATTTTGAATTGCGCTTTTGTCCAGTTAAATGTTCTAAAATATGAATAAGTCAGGCTGCTAAGTTTATCAGTACACAGTACTTATCAGCAACCCAACGGCACGAAACTCTGTAAGGAATATCTCTAAAGATTATGGTATTTAATTGGACATAAAAGCTTGTCAAAACTATTTCTTCATTCAAATCGTATTTTCTCTACTTCATGGAAAAATTACAATGAAACTTTTGCCAGGATTGTCATAAGTTCAAAGAAGACATGTGGTTGAAGTCTTTAGTTTGTGATAAAGTTAGAAGACCTCTGAGGCCATTGCAACTATTTTTCATAGCGAAGGAGCATCTAGTTGATACTGTTATTAATTTATTTCTGAGCCTGAGCACAGTGTTTCTAAACATTATTCAAATTATGAAAGCTAGCACAATAACCTGTTTTTGTGAAAGCGCTGGAAAAATTCACCCTGTTTTTAATTTTTAATCCCTTCGAATATCACCAGAGCTGAGTGTTTTCTTTTTAAATCTATGACGAAAGTGTCTACGCTGTATTCCTCCTAGTTTAGGTGGTACCTATAAGTTTTCCTAATTATAACTATTTTGCAGGCCTAGATGGACTTTGCCCTTGAAAATACTGCTTTCCAGCCAACGAGAGGGGGATTTTGTTCATTGAAGTAATTTTCAGTCTGGAAAATCATCTTTTGAGCGCCTTTATACTTCTTCATTCATAGGTAGGTATGGTATGCTATTACCCACCTGAGCAACTATTTTTGAAAAATCCTTGTTAGGTCATTCGGATACTTGCTGACATGAACAAGCTTGTAGCATCAGTCAAGGTTGATACTGGATGTCTGATCAGCCGAGTAGTATTTCTGCAGCTCTAATTTTCATTAGGATGTACCATTCATTTTTTGCCCCACATTAATACTGGAATGCGTAGCTTTTTGCCTGGTCCTGCAGGCTTTACGTCGGTGATTGTCAATACTGCAACTTCAGAAAATTAACTCATGATTAAGAAATGGATTTTTTATTATTTTAAGAGGATGCAGAGAATTCAAATTTCTTGCTTGTTGAATAAAATCAGAATCAATGCAAGTCAAGTCGATGAATGAAAAGTATCAGTTCAGTAAATTATTCATGAGTGAGGAATCAGGGTTTTAATTTACATTGCATGTAGAGCATCTAACTTTCGTGCTTGTTGAACAAAAAAGAAATCGATGAAAGCAGGGCCGCAGAAATGCTGGATTGGCCGATCGCAGAGCAAATGTGAAGGCATCCAAATAGGGATAAAAAAATGTGAGGATATCTGGAAAGAGAGAAAAATTTGATGGCAAAAGGCATAAACCTGCTAAGTGCATAGCTTTTTGCAAAGGAAACAATGTATTACGAGATGGAAATAGTAAAACGCATTCTTTCATGCGAAGAAAACGGTGAAGTCTCACTTGAACAGCAATGTGAAGGCAACCTCAAAAAATGCGAAAGATGGCTCAAAAAATGTGAAAGCGGAGACTTTCTACATCCCTGAATGAAGGTTAATTAGATGAGTGCTTGGGTTTAGCAAATTCTTTAGCAATAATTGTTCTCCAAACGTCTCTTTGGTCATAAGTTTATTTCAGAAACTTTTAGTGCCCCTACCACACTCCACTCAAAATTTAGAAGATGGAATGCAGCACTTTGGTGCTTTATTTCCAATCCTGTCTTGAACCTAGTTTATTCCTGACTGGAGTGTTCCTAGCGAAGGCAAAGCTGAGGGTAAATCATTTCAGAAATGAATTTTAGGGATATAGCCAGACCACGGAGTTTTTCAGTTAATGTTGATTTACAAGACGCAAGGATGTATTTCAGATACATAATCCATCCTCAGCACACGTATAATATACCACGAAATATGAAACGGAAATCACCATTTCCAATATTTATAAAACCACACAATATGCGGCTGAACTCCTATACAAATCATTTTATTTAACACTCCTTTATCTGTTTAGAAAAGAGGGCCAATTTATTTAGAGACTCAGAATTTTGTTAGGAATCATATTTTATGTTTGAACAAGATTTATACCACCCTGATGTGGGTAAGCAGTATCTCTGAGAATCCTAACCAACCTGGGATATTTTTAAACTTTTTGGGGTTTAAAAATAACCTGTTGTTGGAGGGAGGGAAGCTGAGAAGAGCTGCCAGTGTGCAGGTATTGGAAATAAAAATCCATCAATATTGCTGCAGACCATGCATTTAAATCAGACCCTTAGTTTAAAAAAGACATCTAAAGTCTTCCTTGAATGGCAACACCTAATGTTGCGTTGTTTCCGCTAACCCTGAACCAAACTCACCAAGACTATGTTCACATAGTGTCTCTGTCCAGTCCTCTGCTTCTGGTAGCTCGTTTCTCAATTATCTATTCTGCCGTGCTTAGGAGAAACGCTGTATAAGCCTCCAGAATCCAAATGTTGCCGTATCTCCTTCAATATAAATCAAATTTACCAAAAAAATTATTAATATTTTTTTCCAATTTTTTCAGTTTTTGTTTGCGACTTCATCTAAAATATCTGAAAATTCAAGGAAAACTATGCAAAACTTTCCTTGCAAGTACATGACTTATTCGAGGAAATTTGGCAACTCTCAAATGCTTGTATGGTGTTCTCCCTTAGCACGGCAGTGTTATCTCTACTCTCCCTTTAAATTCTCACGAGTAGCACTCAAAACTTAGAGAAAAATCACACTCTTTTCCTACTGAGTGCCCCTTTTGCATCGCAGCAGAATATTTCCATTGACAGAGATCGAAAAATAAAAATGAGTACATGAAACCTAAAGAATGCAACAGTAAAAAAATGGAATTATAATCTTGAAACTCATTTGCACAGAATTCATTCCATGTTCTCAATTTTTATGGGGTTTATTTTTCTCTCATGTTTTGTCAAGTCAAAACCTTGGAAAGTTAGAGTAATCTTCTTTGAATTGAATCCTTGTCGTGCAATAGAGGATTATCGAATGAAAATTCAGACGTTGGGAAGTTTCTTTTGATCAAATAGAAATTTTGTAGAAAACCCCCAAGAAATTTTTCATCAAATTCAGATAATTTTATTATTAAGTTTATTCAATGCATCAAGAAAGTTTAAATGAAAACATTCATAGCTTATTGCAAAAATAAGTATTTCATGAGGGGAGTTTTGGCAACATTTCAATATGCGTATGCAGGGTCCTTTCTCCGCACTTCACATCTCACCTTCAGCAATATCTTGTCTTGTTCTTTCATTCTTTAACCAATAAGTTTTTTTTTTTCCTGCAGCATCCTGAACAAAACACACTCATATTTTATAGTTTGTGCTAGAATGTTGGTCTGGTTTAGCTGAGACATGCTGTTTCCAAGCGGTACCAATTTTTATCTTAAGCGAAATTATAAGAGTTTGTCCTTGTTTCCTTTCTGGTAAGTGTGACTTATTCATGCACCCTTTTTGAACATTCCTCTGAAGCCCAAAAGAATACTTTTTTCAAAGCTTTTGTAGAATTTTGTGTTTAAACTCATTTTTTTTTTTTCTGATCCAAATTTTATAGTCTATCAGTTGCATAAAGAATGAATTGCGCATTGCAATTTTGTATTGAAAAAAAGGATGGGTTCTAAGGAAATACTTTTTTTTTTAAATTTTAGAATTGAAAAAAGGCATTAGTTTGAAATCACTTTGAAATTTAATTTTTGCTTATGGGAAGAGACAAATCAATTTAGATAAAGGGAATTGGTATCAAAATTTGCCTGGCTCCTGTAGAATCACGTTGATTTTTTCCAGCAGTTAGAAATTTGCCTAGATATTTGAACCCAGTGTAAGGTTAAGGACAAACCAATTAGAGTAAAGTTTGTCAGTATAGAAAGCCTCTGAAATGTAGGCATAGGAATCATTTGTGAAGATTTAAGTGCTGATAGTGGTTCCTTATCACTAAGTGACATCGGCTTATCTGCCTGGTCCTAACCAATATTAAGACTGCCTCACTCATATCTGAGCAGTAAATTAAAGCAAATTGTTTGAGAGTCTAATATGACTTCTTTTCTTGCACAGTTTTGCTGTTCGAGCTTTGAGTATATTCATTTATAATTCTAGCCATCCCGCAAGGTTTCTGCCTTTTGGATCTTTTTTCCCTTTTAATATCTAAGTGTATCACTTTGTGGTGTGCTTTAAACTTATTCTTTCAAATTGTAAGTGATGTTGCTGTAATATAATATCTCTCCCTTTACAATTTTTGATCCGTATTTTTAGTCCTGCTTACAGTTTGTCTTCCATTAGAGTAATGATTATTCACTAGTCTCAGATATCGATAGTTTTTTTTTTAAGAATTTTTGAACAAATTTGAAAAACTGCAACTAGAATCTCTTAGCACCTTTGATGAAGAAACCTTAGAGTGTTCCAAAACATCATCAAAAAATTGATTAGATCGTCATTTTAAATTGAAGTAACGGAAGAATTTTATCTAATAAATGTGCTCATGTGTATGAACATGTTTTTCATAATTGCAGTAATAGGGACCGTTCTTATATAAGGTACGTTATGCTCCATGGGGGAGAGCATTTCGCCATTAAGTTCGTACATGTTAAAGGATAGAGATCTACATCACGAAAATGTTACAGAGGTGGAAGAGGGTCAAAAATTTCAAATTTAGTGCTACATATTTTATGAACAGCAGATTTTTTCTGATATATTTTTATTTTTTTTCCCCTCTCTTCCTACTTTGAGCTCTTAGAATAAAACTAAATACGCCTGAAATGAATGTCTTACAGAAATAAGAAAAGGCAGGTTTTGATTTTGAGGTATTAATGCAAGGCTGCCACAGTCAAGAATACCAGGAAAACTGGGGATCGTCAGGGAATTTTAAAAAGTCAGGAGAAACTTGGAAATGTCAGGAAAAATGATGAAAATGTCGGGGGAAAATTGATAAGCACCTTTATTTATTTTATAGAATGAGTCCGGCAATTCGAACAAAAAATTCAGTCCCCTAACTATTCCTAATCATGTCTTTTTGACCATTTGGCATACCTGCAGTTGACAGAGAATTTCACCAAAATGTGTCAGGGAATTTAATTTTCATTTTGATGAAACAAAAGAGACAGTCTAATTTTTTGTCTTGCGAGTCTGTATTTTTACACTAAATTTTTCTCCAATCTCTCCTATGCAACTCTGACAGAATTCTCTAATTTCAGATCTCTCAATTTTTAACAATGAACGAGTTGTCTGTTCCATCGTTGGAGTGGGACCCTGTAACGCTCTTGTTTGACGACGCAGCAGAGTTCCCACCAGCAGCTATAGTGGTTCTCAACACTCCAATTATTCTCCGTCCTGAAGTCGTTTGTTCCTTGTGGAACAGAGGTTAGTCACATAATACTTTGTATTTGAGATCCTCCTTTCAAACTTAGTTTGGACTAAATTTCTCTTTTCATTGAAAATAGTTTCCGTTGTGACGGTCTGTAACAGACGTTTTTGCCAGCAGAAATATTCTTTAAAATGTCCGAGGCGTAAGTCCGCAATCGCACATCTCGTTGGCAGTATCTGAAAATCCACGCCTCTGTGTTATTTTTTTAAAGGAGAACAAATTGACATCATTCCTTGAGGTTTATGCAAAATTTTCTTCGCACGGAGAAGAAAAATCACTGCAATTTTAAAGAATTGCTGTTGAGTAGTTTTCCGTTTATAAAATAAAATATGACAGGAGGTCTGTGATGTTGCTAACCGAGTTATGTGATTGTCGACTTACACCGGCGATGTATTATGTACTGCTGCTTGGAGCAGTTACACATGGTGAAATATAGACAGACTACGCTATTTGACTAAAAAAGCTTTGTTTTTAGAAACAGTTAGGAACTTTTTCAAGCAACTGTGCATGTTCCCCAATAAAGTCCTGGCAGCTGAAACAAGAGAGAATTTTAATTTTTCTTTATCATGTATCTGTTTATTTATTTTTTTCTACATGTCTGCTTGTGTTTAAGGTAATCGCAGTTGTGCCAAAAATCGGTGGGTGATGTAGAAAAATGAAAGTCTTTTTCAGATTTGAACCATATTTTGCAAGTAAGAAGTACAGTATCCACCAGTTCAGAAACGGTTTAATTTCTATCAGTTTTCTCATGTAGATAAGTGATTTTACAAAGGGGTCAGAAATTGTAGTTCCTAATGTCAAAATGAAGTCTATCAAGTGTTTGAAAATACATTGGAATCGGCTGTATTATTCCAGAATATTTCTTGATGCAGCCTGGTATTGGAAGTTTTTCCATTAGATATTAGTGAGCAATATAATTAATAATTTATCCTTGGAATCAATTCAACTTGTCATCAATATTGTATAAAATAGATTCAGCAACAATTTAATCCAAAAATTTTCAGCTACTCGCAGAGTTACAGTGGATGGTGGCACAAATCATTGGCTCAGATTTGCAGAAGAAAATGGCAAATTGATTGAGAACAAATATCCTCACTTGATCACAGGTAGGCTGACAGCCGACACAGTTAATATTGACAGCCGAAGTGCGAAACCGTGTACATATATATTACAGTGTTCAAAATTTACTTTCAAATTTTACTGTTTTAAAGAGCAAGAAGTCAACTTTATAGCTTCAAATATAAACAGAATATTCTGCTCACAGAAGAGAAAAATGAGGAAGCTTTCAAGAAATTATGTTGACTCGTTTTCCAAAAAAATAAAATATGACAAGAAGGCTGCTTAACATCGCAAACGGAGATATGTACATAGTTTTGCACTTTAGCCATGGATATCTGTACATGTTACTGATTAATAGTTATCATGCCCAGTACATAGGATACATTCAGCATAGTAAACTTGCACTCAGTATATAAGTAGAAAAAAGGCTTCAGTCACAGCTTTTCTTCATATCAGCAGCTCTCAAGTTTTTCAACACAGACCACTCTCAATATCTGATTCTGCTGCAATAGAAGACAGATAAAAAATTCCTGGAATTTTCTCCACGTAGCTGAAAATTCTTGTTAATTTAAACTTGTTCATATTTTTGGAAACATTTTTGACAGGCCTTTGCAGGCTACTTAAGACAAGCAAACCACATTTTAGAAACTGCCTTACACACTTTTACTTAAAAATTGTTTGGAAAAATCGATTTACCATGTTCAAAGTTCACATCGATTTCAAAGGCAGCACATTCATGCCTAGCATTGATTAAATAAAAATTTTAAAGAATTTTTCACACAGAAAGGACGTGTCAACAATATTCAATTTTACAAAGGTACTTTGAATTTTCATTTTGGAATGCATTTTAAAAGTTTAAATTTTAATAGAATTTATCCCAAATTTTCTTTATTTTTTTTTCTCTGCAGGTGATATGGACTCAATTGAGCCTGATCTTCTTAGTCAGTGTCAGAAAGAAAAATCAGAAGTACTAAATACCCCTAATCAATTGAAGACTGATTTTCACAAGGCCTTGGACTGTATTGCATCATCCAATAACAATGCTGTGAGTCTGCAATTCATAATTTTGACAAATTGCAATTGAGGATGGAGAAATGACGATTCTTATTTTTTAATTTTAAGTGGAAGTGACAGTGTAAATAGAAAAGAGAATCGGAACATTTTCTTATTATCTTTCCTTTTATATTCATCCAACTCGAGTATTTTGCCTTAACTTCCTGATATTTTTAGTCTCGTTTTGGTGAAAGAAACCACCGTTGGATATCAATTTGTCTTGGATTTCAACAAGTAGCTCTTTAAGTCCAGCAAAATTTAGGATTTCATCAAGTCCTCAAAAAATAATATTACCATATCACAACGATAGACTGATGACTCTCTTAGTTCAACACTATCAAAAGTTTGACCAATTATTATCCTTAATCTGTTAAACTAATGTCATTTTATGCCCAACAAATTGTTCACACCCTTAAGGTCAAACTTATAATGTAAAATCTTGTATTTTTATATGTATGGAGGGGTATACATAATGCGTCGTTTTTTCAAGATTTTAAAATACTTGATTGAAGCCAGACCACGGTTGGAAATTTTTATTCACTACTTCCTTAATACATTGTACCGATGCATTTCAGAGACATTTTCTCCATCCTCAGCGTATATAACAATGCAAGGAATGTATAAAGCACAAACCACATTGCCAGAAATGTATAAAGCACAAAACAATGAATTGAACAAACAGTGAATAAAAATTTTTAGCCTTGGTTTGGGCGCAATCAATTATTTTAAAATCTTGTATCTTTCTAGAGGACAAAGGTAGAGATATGGAAAAAGAAGCATTGGAAATTTAGGGAAAACTTTAAACTTCAGCATTTAATTTAATCACATTTTTACCTTTAAAAAGTTCATTTGCAGAGTTTCTGCACTACTGTCATCTGAGCAAAATCAACCTCAGGAATTTGTCGCATCAGTCAAACACTTCTCATATCGTTTTTCTTAGTAAACTGAACAAAGTCAAGGTAGTATTCAGCATACCCAAATAATCCATCAAAAATCCCATTTTTGCCTCCATCAAAAATTTTCAAATTAAACCTCAGGAAAGTATGGAAATTATATTTATAATTTAATTTTCGTATTTTTTAGAAGAAAAAATGCCCCCTAGAGTGATCCTACATTCATTTCTTATGCACAGAATTTTTTGTGTTTCTTTTTGCAGGTAGATGTGGTTTTTGTATTAGCAGAGCACTCTGGAAGGGTAGATCAAATACTGTCAAACCTGAGTACGCTTCACCAAACATCAAAGATATTCAAGAGAGACGTTCCGGTATTCATTGTAGCATCAGACACAGTGACGTGGGTTCTGAATCCTGGCGTCCAGCATCGAATTCATGTAGCTGACAGATTGATTGAATCTCAGTCAAACTGCGGGCTCATACCTCTTGCTGGAGTGGCTAGCCATATCACGACCACCGGGCTCAAATGGAATCTCAGTGAGTATAACTTTACATTAGAGGTGTCGTCAGCTAAGTTGACGGTTGTTTACTTTCGGTTTGCAAGTGTTTTCGCGTCACCACTATCCACATGAAAACATCCGACTCTCGCAGAAGCAAGAACACAAGCTTAGATAAGTTTTTTAATACTTTCAAGCCTTGTATCACTTTAATTTTTAGCCACACAGAAATCACAACCACTTAAAAGTCGCAGATCACAACTGATAAGTAGTTTTTTCACGATACGATCATGAGACGGATGTTTTCAAGGTAGATAGCAGCGAACATCGCTTCATGCAGAGGCCCAAATTCGTCGTTGGCGCTCGCCAACCGAAAGTAAACAACCGTCGACTTAGCTGACGACAGCTCTACTTAGCCGAAACCTTATCTCTTTACAGGGTTTGTGACCCCTTAATCTAGAATTTTCAAGGCCTTACATATTCTTAAATTTTAGGAAATTTCATAAAAGTACTTGAAGTGTGGATGCAAAAAACTCCAAAAAGCCATCCATTTGTTACAGTTGAGTGATTTTCCTTATTGCGAATTGACCCTTACTTCAAAACGGAAAACAACTGGTTTTGAATGCTGACCGAATGGACGCATTCTTGCTAAAAGGAACTATGTTCATATATTTTGTATATATGTAGATAAATGTACACTATGTCAGCTCGAGAATATACAATAAAATTGGACAAGAAAAAGTGGGGACAAGGTTAAAAAAACTCAATGCTTTTGTAATAATTATTGTGTTTTTTCAGCCTTGTCCTCGCCTATTCTTGTCCAATTTTATTTTAGATTTTGTATCCGTAAGTCCTATAGAGAAATGGGAGAAAATACTGTAGTAAGATTTCTCAACAGTTTAACAAAGGAATCTGCTTTGTATCGGTAAATCTACTCGCTGCATGTACGAATTGAGCTTTTTTTCACAGGAAATTAATGAAATTCATATTTTTTCCCCCAGCCGATCAGGGTTTAGAATTCGGAAACAAGATCAGCTCTAGTAATACCTACAGTGGTTCGTCCATTGTCACTGTGGAAACAGATACCCAGCTGGTCTGGTCAATGAGTCTGGGCCTCACGAAGAAGCGCGATTAGTCATTCATGAAAGTGTGTTGTTATTAGTGTTTCATTTAATAAGTTCTGTTTTCTTCCTCTTTTGGTTTATCTTGTTAAGTTTTAATCAGCCACATGAGCCAACTTTTAGAATATGTAACTGGAAAACCTGAAAAAATTAACATATTTTGTGAAAAGTCAGCTCATCCAATTGTTTTTAGTTTGTTTGGTCAAAACTTAGTTTTGTCCCTATGTGAGGTGGTTATTATTAAATATCATCGCACTACTTTTAACCAACTTCAACCTTAAACCGAATTATTACGGGCACAATTTTGTCTTTTAAACTCTATGTCTTTTGCAGTAAATGAAAACTAACTAAAATTATGGATAGTTAGTAGCTGGGTCCAAGTAATCAGCAAGCTAATCATAGGTGAATGAATATGACTGAATTTTGCTGGCAGCTATTAGCATTTTATTGAATGCACCTTAGTGTGCAAATAACTGTTACAATTCATAGTTTAGTCGCAGAAAGATGCGAGCATGATAAATTTTCATTGTTTCTCCTGCAATAACTGCTAGAATTTTTTAACTATCCATTATATGTATTCTCTCCGCAGGAAAAATCAATTAGGGGGCCATTCATAAATTAAACAATGAATGGAAAGCTCAATGTTAAGTAACATTTAAACTTTAATGAATCTTGCATAGTTTTTTATGAAAAAAAAAAAAAAAAAATTATACTGTAAGTTCAATCCTCATTGGGGATTGAAGAGACCCCAGAGTCTGCGCTCTACGGAGAATGGAGGTAAGAAACAGGAAAAAAATGCTTTTTGTAATTCTTGAACGGTCGTTGTTACCTACTCTTTTAATCAAGCTGTCTCTTGAGTAAAAGCTTTTGTCTTTGTATTTAATATTTTTTGAATGAATACGCAATAAGATCGGGACCGCAAAGACTGAACTTAATTTAAACAAAATATTAGTTTTTTTTTCTCATTGGATTCCTGGAGTTATTGGGACTCTGTTCAATAAGTTTGTGTTTTTAGACAATTTAGAGCTATAGTGGAACAGTGTCATTGATTTTTGAGGTCAAAACACTACTGTCAGATTAAAAAAGCAGTTTTGCCATGATGCTGTGTAACTTTGCAGGACAGCTCGGCATTCGCAGATTTTGTCCTTTAGAGTTTCTGGGTTCCTGCCATTCCATCAGTCGATCATGTTGTTTTTAAGTTGGAGATCCTCTACAACATCTTTTATAAACGATAACATTGTGCATTCAAATGCAGTTTTAAATTTTCATATTATTTGTGATGTTTCAGTTCTTAAAGTTATCTGTATGTTGCGTCATTTTAATAACAGCTCAAAAATAAGAATTTAAATGTTTGTTGATACTGTTTGAAAGTCTCCCTCGTCTGGAAGCTTTTAAGGTAACAGCACCAGTACCCGGAATGGTACCAGTATCCGGAACGTCGCTCAGTTTTTCGTGAAAAATAAGCGGTAGGTACATCAGTGCAAAAAGGGCATCAGGTTTTCACAAATTACACTCAGAAGGCGCCACCTTGCAATAAGTGTGATGGTCGTGCGCTCCTTCTATTATTTGTACCATGCTTCTATAGTGACGTATTCACAGAGCGGTTCGTTCTGTGAATGCGGTTCGTTCTGTGAATACGTCACTGTAGAAGCATGGTACAGACAATAGAAGGAGCGCACGACTATCACACTTATTGCAAGGTGGCGCCCTCTGAGTGTAATTTGTGAAAACCTGATGCCCTTTTTGCACTGATGTACCTACCGCTTATTTTTTTACGAAAAACTGAGCGACGTTCCGGATACTGGTACCATTCCGGGTACTGGTGCTGTTACCTTAAGTTGTTCTGTTTTTACTTATTTTCCAGTTTTAAATATCCAATTTTTAAAACAAGTTTTACCCACAATTTTAATTATGTACCACAGCAAAAACTACTACGCTCAAAAGTAATAACCAAGCCTCTTCCATGCTCTCAGTTTGTATTTTTGGTGAACTGTATAAAATATGATGTAAAATTGAAGAATTCCCTACCCTTTCTATTTGTAAAGAAGGAATGTAATTAATTTAATCTTGTTTCTTATCCAATGAGCAAGTTGGTTTTAATTACCTAGTCAGTAACAGCTTTAAGCATTTCCTTTCTGCTCTTATTTTTGTGATGAATAATTGAACCTCATTCGTAAGTTTAAATATTCTTCTGATCTCTTAAATGTATCAGCAGCCATGAACAAACTTTTAGGGAATCTGTTGAATTAGAGGCTGAAGCCCATGTTGATGTATTCAACCTGCCAATCGGCATGTTGGAAAATATTTAGGCATTGTTTATATACATGAAATCTCGTATCTAAACTTTTTTACTTTTCAGTGGGATGTGTGTCAACAAACTTTCAAGCTTTATGTACACTTTCTAAGTTACAAATGTAATAGGTATTTCTACAAGAGAAATTAGAGTAGCAAGCACATTAGAGCAACACCACTCAATTTTAAAAATATTTTTTTTTTCCATCTCCAATTTGACTTGAAGAGCACGATCTTATGTTTTTAAGCTTTAATAATTTAGATCGGTTAATACTCAAAAATGTTAAATTTTTAACGAAACTGTTTAAAAAAATTTTGTTGTTGTATTTTTGGTGAAATCGACAAAAATCAGTCGAATTGAATCTACTAATTTCAGTCAAAGCAATTTGGTACATGTTCATTGTTCTGCATTTTAAGTCGTTACTAATTATTTTAAGGGGTTGAAATCAAGAATAGCGGTTAATTGGTATGATAATAGGTGGTGTTCTAATTTATCCCTCATATTCACTTATTATTTTTGTCTTTCGATTTAATTTTTTTTCTTTTGAGTTTAAGTTTCCTTTTTTTTTATATGAAATTCTGCTCTAAAATGTTTCTCTATTGTAGAAATTTTGATGGCAGTTTAGAAGTGAAAACTCCGTGTTCTAACTTTCAAGTCTGGCAAAATTGTAATAGCGATTCTCAGAAATTAGCAGAACTTGGTTTCATCCTTTTAAATCCCTGTACGTGTAACAATCAGTATGTGTCGAGACAGGCTGCCGCAACTAAAACTGATCATTTAGAATGGTTCTAAGCGGAGGCAAAACAGTGTTACCAACTTGCAGCGATTGCATTTCTAAACTGTCATGAAGAATAGTACAAACATTTCCAAATCTTTATTGTATTTCTTTTCAAGGGACATTTAATCACTCTGTTTTGAATTGAATTGTTGTACTTGGAGAATGGCATTTGGACTGTGAGATCCCCTCTTCAAACGAGCTATCTAATTACAGTCTGCTTTAGTTCAGCGCTTTTGGTATTATTGCAAAGAGATTTTTCTGTCATGAGTAGGTAATTTTGCCAGGCTGAAAATTTAATCGAGATTTGCAATAAGAGCAAAAGTGCCAAGACTCTTTAGCCTCGGCGTTTGTTGCCAATAATTTTTAGTATCTATCGAATCATTGGTTTAATTTCAATATCCTTCTAATTTAGTCCAGCCTCTTGTCTGCTGGACAGAGCTGCCACTCAGATTTGAATATCTAGTTGTCATAACAACCTTCCCACCCGGCAACTGACGACAAAATATCAAACCATCAAGGTTTTAATTTAAAGGAAATGATGCCCAAATTTTAAAACTGCTCATCTCGATTTGCAACATTTGAGACTATTTGCTATTCTTAATTTTTAATTAAACAACTTAAATAAGCATAACTGCTTAAAACCCTCTATGAATTTCTTCTCTGTTTGGAGAATGGTCTGTCAAAAGTTCAAGCAATGAAGTCTCTGTTTGTCTCCTCGAAAGAATGAGTAAAGAATGAGCAGAAATTTTTAAACACTGAAATCGAATTCCAAGTTTAGCTACCAGTAAATTCCAATAATCAGAAAACTGTTTTGTTAAAATTTAATCACAATAAAAATAATTGTTCATTTTTAGTCTTTAGAGCTCAGGATTGAGTTTTATTTTTTATTGCTAAGTGTTTTCAGAAGTCAAGGCCCTGAAATGAGGATATTATGTAAATGATTTAGGTACTTAGATGCTGGTACATTTATTTTCTTGTTAATTTATTCTAAAAAAATAAAAGTTTTTCAATATTTTTTCTGAATTTTTATTTTTGTGTCTCCAGCAAGAAAAAAATAAAATTTCATCTAGGAGAATATGAAATTAAGAAAAAACTCATGATTTTATAATCATCTCAACGCAATAAGTAAGTTTGCGCCACAATTTATGAAATGTCAGAATGATACACTGAAAGAAACACATTTTTTTTAATTTGTCCATTCTATTATCTTTGCAAATGGGACAGCTACACTAGGTATTGAAAATTTATCTCATCAGCAGTTTTTCAACATTTTATTCTGCTAAATTTCATTATTTGTTTTCCCTCCCACTAATAATCTAACTCTGCCAAATAGTTAGGGAGGAATGTATTTAGGTAGATGGGGTGTTGAAAATCATTTTACATGAGATTTCCTGTAAAAGAAATCATTCCTCTTGAAAGAAAATTAAGCATTTCTTCTCAATGCTGCTGTTGCAACCCTAGCTGCCCATCACATAAACTTACAGAGGGAATGGATTAGGTTGGATTTTTTTTCGCCAAAAAAATTAGCGAAGCTCATATAATATGATTTTTTAACAAGGTGGTAAAATAGTGCTGGTTCCAGTCCACACTATTTTTCAGGGAAAACAAGATCAAATAACAATTTACAAAAATTGCAATTACATGCAGTAAAAAATGTGAGTTCTAATTAGTATCAGTTTGAGACCCAGCACATGACTATGCTACAGCTGCACATTTAAAATCTATTTTAAGGGATTTGAAAGACTTGAGGCGTTATGAATTTATTCGGTGGTACACATAATGCTGTTGTAATACTGGTGCATAGCCAGGGCAGACACTCCATTTATTCAGATGAAAATATATTTTTTAAGCCAGAAAATTTTTTGGAGGAAGCGACACACTACAAAAGAATGAATAATCATGGTTGCGGTTGCATAATGGCTCGGGGAATCGAAAGGGGATCCTTCAGGCACGAAAAATGACAGCGATGATTTGACCGTTTTGACTGTTATTAAAGAATGACGTCACACTCAGTCCATTCATTGGAAAAGATCGAGTATCGTACTGCATCGATTCGATCCACAGATAATGCGATTCAACATAACCTCTTCCTACTGCTTCATAGCGAATATATCGATATATCGAACAGGCGATAGCTTTTCTAGACGTAAATTATCAACGGTTGGCTTGTTGCTTGTTTTCCTTCTGATATCTCGGTCATTTATGTAGTGTACTAACTTTTATATCTAGAATTCACAAGTGTAATAAGTTTTATGCATCGAAGTGCTCTTGAGTTTTTTATTTTTAAACATTGAAAGTAAGTTTCAATTTCTGTAACAGTCCCTAGACTTCCAAGACTGGATCTCAGTTAGCCAGATTCCTTTGTTTGTGCCCATATTTTGTGCCCCATCACCTTCCTATCACTTGATCTGGAAATTATCTACTTCTTTTTGTGCTTCATGGCACTATTCTACACCTTCAAGAAGGATGAGTTGTATTAATCATTTGGTCATCATTTCTTGTGTGTTTGATTTGAGAATATCAAGTGAGGACACCTCAACAGCTTGTAGCAGATGCAGCATTGACGCATCTCTCATGCCATGCTCCCCAAATCACATACTCCTTAGAAATATTTGTGTAAGGGGGGCAATCTCATATCAAGCGCAACCTAACTAAAGTTTCAATAGGCCATAATACAAGGGATGAATTCAAGCTCCGCTATATGTGTATTCTCATAAATTTGATGTCATAAGCGTTTCTAGCAACGGAAAGTTCAGGAATCAACTCCTAAGCGAGGTATCATACAGTAGTACTCTCAACACGATTCATGAAAACAGAATTATTTCAACCGACATCTTACGAATTTTTGCCTTTTAGCTAATTCAGACATAAATACGCATCTTTCTAGAAACTTATTTGTCGATTGCGGAACTACCTGTCGCTTGGATCAATTTCCTCTTAAAACTTAAGAAATTACTTTTAATGGTGCATTTCAGTTTTTTATTTGTGTAGTGCCCCATCATGTCTTGAAACAGCAGTAGGTAGTTCTGGAATCATGTTCTTCAAAATTCAACTCATGATCATGTAGATAACCAGACTTATCCTCTTAATGTCTTACCTCAGTCCGCGCAGGCGGATGTACAATGGAAATGCACGCCCACAATATAAGTACCAGAAGACGTTTTAGTTTATTTTTGTAGAAAGTTTAAAAAATCTGAATCAACGGTTTTCATTGTTCTCATGACATTGCATCATCTTATTTTCTTGACATTCACTGTACTTAAGTACTGAATTTTGAGATATTTGAGGTTTGTCCCTCAGAGATCATTTAAATTATAGTAAGTAATCATAGAAGTTTTTTACAGCAAGAGTTTGATATTACACATGATCATAACATCATACATTATGAGTGGTCCATGGAATTTTGCCAATATGCGAACATGAGCCAAAATTTGTAGAATTTACGTGCAAAACCATTTCTGTCGACAAATGACCAGCACAGTGTCAACAAGTGGCCGTCAGGCACCAAAACTCAAAAAGTTTTCAATTTCAATTTTCAAGATTGATTATCAGGCGACCTAGGCATCTCTCTTTTCTCTTCCATACATTGGTGGACTCTGCTTGATGATATTTTTTTTGTTTCAGCTGCGTTTTTGAGTCATGGATGGAGAAAACGTGAATAGTAATGGTGTTAGCGAGACAGATGCTCGGGGTGACAAAGCGGCAGGTGCCGCAATGTTCCCACAAAATGGACGAGGAGAAACTAAAACCGAAGTTACATCAGCCTCAAGGGGCTGTTCATTGTGAGTACTTTATTCCAAGAACTACGAGGCATAATGACTAATCACCCATTCTTCATAGTTCTTCTGCTGTAATAACAGTTCTGTCTTATGAGTATCTTGGCTATAATTGCAGGATTTTGAATCCTGTCTACCTACTCTAATTGAAAATCAAAACCGATTAAATATCAAAACAACCCACTATGCAAGAAAGCAGCGAGTTTCTTGAAAGTTATTTGAAATTTTTTGATTTTTCTTCCTCTTAACTGTAATGGTAGGGGGTAGAAAGTTTCAAAACGCTGACTGTTTGCCACAATTTGGTTCTGTGTCTCACAGGCATTTTTCCTATGTGCCTTACGGTTAAGCAATAAACATCCAATTTTATGGTAAAATGATTTGTTTCACCAATCAAGGTGTTTCGTCGGGGGGGTGGGGGGGGACCTAGGACAGTTGAGGAGAGGAAGTGCATAACCAGGAGAGATGCCAACTCCTTTGCAAGATAGTAATTTTTTGCTTAACTTCATGAGACGTCGATTATGAGCTCGACACCTCTCTGTCCCGGTTTTTAGTTTTTCTAAAATTCGGGCTCTTACTGATCTGCACTGGCACTTTAGTCTGAGCCGTGTTAATATTCGCGACCTCTTTTGATTTGAAAAAAAAGATTAGGGAGGATTAAGTACATGGACTGTAAATGCAAATACTTGAAAAGGTGAGTCGAAAGGAAAAACAATTCTGCTCGATACCAACTAATGAAATGTCAGATTTGTCTCTTTTTCGAGGCACTGAGAAGAAAAGTCATCATTTTTCTTAATTGCCCCCAGTTTGCCAGGATCATGAGATCGGGCATTTTCTGCACTCCTGGATGAAGGAAGTATTCGTAGGGAAGCAGAGGTTTTCTCTTTGATAGAAGTGCTATAATCCCCTACAGCTTGAATTATTGCTGTAACATCTTTAAAATTCCTACTAATCCATGTCAATCAATTCTCCGTAGTTGGCATTTTTCTATTGGTAAAATAGCTTTTGCCTTTTTTGGCAGGTTGTTTTTTTGCGAGTAACCACAAGCTTATATCATCCAATCTAAGATCTCTCACATCCTGTCCCATTTAAATCATTTATTTGCATCATATCCATTTCATAATCTATTCGGCCTTGTTTGTACATGTGTCTGATGTTGTGAAGGAAACCATTTCGTTGAGCCATTTGTTACCGTTATCGCTTTTTATTTCACGATTTTTTTTTCAGTTCTCCTTTTTTTTTGAAGCTTTGTCGTTGTTTGAATTTATGAGGTCATTCTTCCTTTTTTTTTCTCTTTTTTTGCCGTTTAGTTGTGGCTGGCGATTTGTTTGGGAAGGCAGATTAATCAAGTGGTGAGACTGCTTATAAGTTTTCCGCTTTTTTCACTCAGACATTCTATCGTAGAGTTTATTTTTTCGCTTTATGTTTTGTCTCAGCTTGTCATCTTCCGCCATTTTTCTCCGTTTCTTTCTTTGTATTTTAGTTTTTTTAAGTTGAAGATAATGAATAAGTGGTCTACGTTTTGCAAATCTCTGTATCAGAAATCTTAGCTGCATCCTTGCTTTTGTAGTTCTAGTTCACGCTCAGCTTGGGTAATGTGCAACTCCTTTTTTGTTGCTATTTAAAGGTATTCATCTCTAAATCATCACATCAAATCAGGGAACATCTAGCATACATCTCCTTCATGACAGTGAAAAGTTTAATGTAATTCTAAATGAAGAACTAGTCCCATCAAATTGAAATCTTCATGGAGGCATCTTGCTTTCAATTTAAGTGTTGCTACTTAGTTCCAAAATGAGTTGTGCAATGTGTAATTTTACAATGATTTAACACACGGAAAGTAGCAAACCTCACACTGGTAATATTTCATCTGTGAAAGTTTCGCAAAGAGAAGCAAAAATCCCTGTTGACTATTTTTATTGCCTCATCCGCCTTTGGACGTCAGAATTTATGTGTTGCCTTTGTTGTTCTGGGAATGTGAAGTGTCTTCGCTTGATCCTGTGTGTAGCGCATGTGGAGGCTATTTTTTTCTGTGTGAATTTAATCTCATCACAGAAAAGTATTTATCGGTTTTTTTTTGTGATCTTCAGCTGGGCAATGATTGCAAGTAAATTTGCAATGAATGTAATTTATGTATCTTATTTTAATAGAAAATTAAACCAACTGCATACAATGTTCATGGTACAAAAAGAAATCTTGGAATAAAACTATTATCATTTTGTTTAACTCCTTGCCTTTGATACTAGTTTTACTTTCATCCTATTTTTTCATTCTTCTGTTGCTTAATATTAAGTTTCATGTTATTTGTTATGATAGCTTTTCATATGATCGAATGTAAAATGTTTAGAATGGTTTTGGTTTATCTCTATTTTATCACAAGACTATTAAAACACATTGACACATTAGACATTGATTAAAAACGGTTAGAAGCCAAGCTTTGCCTTGAATATTTACTTGTCTTAATTTGGTGTTTGCTGTTATAATGTAGAAAATAATTTTGGGGGAAAACCCCTACTTTACAGCAGATAAATGTAATGAACAACTCGTAATAAATTTTTTGTGGTACAAAAAGTTTTTTTTTATTTTTCTTATTTTTTTTTGTTAGCAGGATCTGAATTTCTAATATTTTTTTACCCAATTTGAAAAAAATTGCTGTGTTAAGAAAAATGTTCCTCTTACAGGAAAGTTCCTTTCCCTGTCAATTATCACAATTGCAGTACAGAAATCTATCAATAACAAAAAAAAAAGTTGTAGAATTGCATACAGAAACGCTTTCTCTTACAGTATGTGAAGAATTTATGTACCTAATGTCTATAATTTTTATGTTTCAGTTACAAAGACACCGCAGAGACAGTCACCGCTCGTATGGCTTCAGATAGAGATGCATGGTACTATAACATGAATCACAAAAACCGAGGAATTGCAATAATTTTTAACCATGAAAATTTCACAAATCCCAAGTTAAAAACACGATGTGGAACAAAAACGGACTGTGAAAATCTTGCAAGCACCTTACGTTCGCTGCGATTTGAAGTGTATACATACTTTGATGCTTCATACAGCAAAGTAATGAGTGTAATCAGTGAAGGTAGGTGACAAACTCATCTTAAGTTTTGTAAGTAGTATTAGTAGTAATATATAGGTATGTTGATTGGCTAGGCGTTCTCTTTGGGCCTAAGCTGTGGGCAGACTTGTCATTTGCGCTATTTCGAAGAGCAATGCGCTGTTTTGAAGAGCTTTGTTGCTCTTCAAAACAGCAACTCATTTCATATTACTACAAGGCTCAGTGGCTGACTTGTATGCCAACTGAAATTTGTATCCAACAACTGTGCGTAATTTTTATATTAGACTAATTGAGGAAAAGTCAAACTTTTGAATTAATTGTTAGGTTCTTGTCAGATTATCAAATTCAAAATATCAAATTGACGGCTGAAATCGAAGAATAAATATCTCTATTGCAACATTTCAAAAACTCCGATAATGGTCTATTTGTTTGAAATAAAAGTAACCAGAATATCACCTTGAAATTTGATGTGAATAAAGAAAATTCTAGAGAAAACGATTTTTCTGTTTTCTTCAGAGAAGGCAAAACACAAGTAGCGTCATGCAAGGTGTACCCACTCATTTTCTACCCTAGTTACCAGAATGGTGATTAAAATGAGAGATATAAATAAATATTGATGTAATGAAGACATTTTCTCATCAAGTAAATAACCAACTAAATGCCGCTCACACCAGGCAGCTGATGACTAACTTGCTCCTAGTGCAAACACTTGATAAAATGGATTTCTGGTGTTTGGTTTTTAAAATTTTTAGTTTACTCATCACTTTAATGTAATTTAAAATAGAATAAAAAAGAAATTATACTTTATTCTTACCCTTTCGAGTTTATGAAGTTAAAGAGATTTTATTTTTTTATAAAATGTATACCTGAATCATCTCCAGTATTTAAAATTTTAATTGTTTTTATAACTCAAAAACCTAAAAATTACAGAAATGCTAAACATTGGTTTTATAATTAAAACTACCTAGATAGATTCATTAATAAAAATTACTGAGAATTGAATTTATTCATTGATAACGAAGGAGCATAACTTCATTGCAGCAGTTAGAAATAGATTTAGTGCTGATATGTGTTATTTTTTCGTATTTTCTTTTAACACTTTAAATTAATGCGCACCCATCTAGTTATAATTGAATTATCTTTTATTCACTCAATTTGTTCATAAAGTAGATTTTCAAAAGATAATTTTCATGTTTTCATTACTTTCATGATGGAAGTTTGCGAAAGTTGTGGATTTTCTTCAATTTTCCTCTTTAATTTTCAGTAAGAAATATGGACCATTCTGACAACGACTGCTTTTTGATGGCCGTCCTCTCCCACGGTGAACAGAATATCATCCATGCCTACGATTCTCCTTACCAGCCAGAAGATCTCTGGCACCCATTCACCGCAGATAAATGCCCATCATTGGCTGGCAAACCAAAGTTATTCTTTATCCAGGTGAGTTACCCATCAGCTGAAATACTTTATTGAAAACAAAGTCGGACAAGCACTATAATGAAACAATAGGTGGAACAAGGAGGTTATCTATAGGCCAGGCCCTAAAGAGCCTCGCCAAGTTTCGCCCCTTTTTTTTATACCCGAGTTGGTCAACCGGACAGTGCTCAAATGAAAGCCTATGGTAAGGCAAACTTCCATGCAAAGTTTCAACTTGAAGTGACCCCTGGTTTAGGCTGTACCGCGTTGCCAATTTTCCAGTTTCATGTGCTAAAATCAAGGATATTGGACTATTAGTCCGGTGCATAAGTAGACTAGTACACCCAAGTTGGTCAACGGGACAGGGCTCAAACGAAAGCTTATGGTAAGGCAAACTTCCAGGAAAAGTTTCAACTTGAAGTGAAACCTCGTTTAAGCTGTACAGCGTTGCCAATTTTCCATTTTTATGCGCTAAACTCACGAAATACTGAATCGTCATGGTTCAACAGACTATTATACCCGAGTTGGTCAACGAGACAAGGCTCAAACGAAAGCTTATGGTAAGGCAAACTTCTGGAAAAAGTTTCAACTTGAAGTGACCCCTGGTTTAGGCTGTACAGCGTCGCCAATTTTCCATTTTTATGCGCTAAACTCACGAAATACTGAATCGTCATGGTTCAACAGACTATTATACCCGAGTTGGTCAACGAGACAAGGCTCAAACGAAAGCTTATGGTAAGGCAAACTTCCAGGAAAAGTTTCAACTTGAAGTGAAACCTCGTTTAGGCTGTACAGCGTCGCCAATTTTCCATTTTTATGAGCTGTACTCACGAAATACTGAATCGTCATGGTTCAACAGACTATTATACCCGAGTTGGTCAACGAGATAAGGCTCAAACGAAAGCTTACGGTAAGGCAAGCTTCCGGGAAAAGTTTCAACTTGAAGTGAAACCTCGTTTAGGCTGTACAGCGTCGCCAATTTTTCATTTTTATGCACTATACTCACGAAATACTGAATCATCATCGTTCAACAGACTAGTATACCCGAGTTGGTCAACGAGACAAGGCTCAAATGAAAGCTTATGGTAAGGCAAACTTCCGGGAAAAGTTTCAACTTGAAGTGAAACCTCGTTTAGGCTGTACAGCGTTGCCACTTTTCCATTTTTATGTGCCAAAATGAAGGAATTCGGGACTAATAGTCCAATGCATCATAATTAAACAGACTAGTGCATCGGTCTACGAGCTGAATACTACCCTGAGATCGAATAGAAGCGCAACTAAAAAAAAAGCGCTTTAGAAGCGCTTTTTTTTTACAAAAATAATAGACAAAAAAAGAAACTTCGGCAACATTAGTGCAGAAATACCATTTTTTGCATGAACGAAAAATAAATGGCATGTCCTGTCGCCTCCCCAAAAGAGAAAACCACTAAAATCACGTTTTGCTTCACAAAAATATCTTCAAATTGGAGCTGAAAAACTCATCATTTTATCGTAAAAATGCCTTAAAATGGTAATATAGACTTAAAAATTCGTCTTCTCTTTTAAAAATCAATCCGATAGTATTGTATGGCAATAGTTTGCCTACCTTGTATGGTGAAGGAACCTGAAAGCACGATTATTCGCACGAAAAGCTCAAAAATATCGGCGTCTCGTCGTAAAATAAATGTACACAATTCGGCAACGTTACTCTGAACTTTCCATTTTTGCCTTGAACAGAAATCATGTACTATGCCATGGTGATATTCAGTCATCAGAATGACATGAATGCCTTGGAAATTACGTTATCGAAGCATTCACGTAAGAAAATCTTTAGTCTTTGTAAGAAATTAAAATATACTTGGCAACATTGCGTTCGGAATTCAATTTTCTCCGTCTGTAGCGTTCATTTACTATTGAGTCGTAATGTTTAGCCCATACTCATCAAAGTTATAGCCCATGAAGGTACGTTTTCCGCCAAAAATCTCGGAAAAACCCTAATTTTATGTTAAAATATTAATATTAAATTGGCAACACTGCTTCAAAAAGTTCATGATGGCCTTTAGTTGCGCTTCTATTCGATCTCAGGGTAGTATTCAGCTCGTAGACCGATGCACTTGTCTGTTTAATTATGATGCATTGGACTATTAGTCCCGAATTCCTTCATTTTGGCACATAAAAATGGAAAATTGGCAACGCTGTACAGCCTAAACGAGGTTTCACTTCAAGTTGAAACTTTTCCCGGAAGTTTGCCTTACCATAAGCTTTCATTTGAGCCTTGTCTCGTTGACCAACTCGGGTATACTAGTCTGTTGAACCATGACGATTCAGTATTTCGTGAGTACAGCTCATAAAAATGAAAAATTGGCGACGCTGTACAGCCTAAACGAGGTTTCACTTCAAGTTGGAACTTTTCCTGGAAGTTTGCCTTACCGTAAGCTTTCGTTTGAGCCTTGTCTCGTTGACCAACTCGGGTATAATGGTCTGTTGAACCATGACGATTCAGCATTTCGTGAGTACAGCGCATAAAAATGAAAAATTGGCGACGCTGTACAGCCTAAACGAGGTTTCACTTCAAGTTGAAACTTTTCCTGGAAGTTTGCCTTACCATAAGCTTTCGTTTGAGCCCTGTCCCGTTGACCAACTTGGGTGTACTAGTCTACTTATGCACCGGACTAATAGTCCAATATCCTTGATTTTAGCACATGAAACTAGAAAATTGGCAACGCTGTACAGCCTAAACCAGGGGTCACTTCAAGTTGAAACTTTGCATGGAAGTTTGCCTTACCATAGAATTTCATTTGAGCACTGTCCGGTTGACCAACTCGGGTATAAAAAAAGGGGCGAAAAAACACCACTTTTTGGCGAGGCTCTTTTGTCGGCAGGTTTGTGGTCAACTGCAAGTTGAGGTTAGGTTTCGAAACTTGCTGTCAAAGGTAGCCAACAAAATCTGGGCCCCGAAAAGTCAAAATACAAGCAGAATTTTTTCAGGGCATCTAAAAAGACTGGAAAAGCATGAAAAATAAATGAATGGTCTAGAATCGTTTCAGGTTTTATAATTTTTTTGGTTTTGTTTTATTTCACAACACCAAGAAACTTCGTATTTGAATCAGTACTCTTCAAAAGGAGGAAGTCAATTTTTCAAAATCGGTTTTTGTTTCTTAGCATTTTTGAACTCTCTAATTGTCCTTATCATTTTTTCCTTAAAAGCAGTGACCTTAAACAAAAAGCGAGTGACGGACGTGCAGGAGTGCAAATGTATCACAAATTGAATGTCAAAAACGCTAAAGAAAAAACGAGTCGGAAAAATTGGACGTCAGCCTTTTTTACAAGCACTAACTTATTTAAGCTATGTACTAATTTGCCAATCAATAAATTATGAAATCAAACAGCTGGGTAATAACTTTACAGCATTCAGATCTCAGTGTTTTTTCACATTGTATAATAATGATTGATGAAATTTGTCTCTTTTCTCATGGAAGTATTATTTTCCTACAGGCATGTCAAGGAGACAGGCTAGACCCTGGTGTCACTTTAATGAAACGAACGGAAACAGATTCCGGTCCAATGTCTTACCGTATCCCAGTGCACGCCGATTTCCTAATCGCCTACTCAACAATACCTGGTATTTTCTTTTCATTTTTTAAGTCTTCTTATCTTTGCTTGTGATTAAGTGTAGAGGATTTGCAATGATCGACCAAGGAACCGTTCACATAGCATCCCTGATTTTGGAGAGAGGAGATGGATTGTTTAAGGGTTGCCACTATATTTGTAGAAAATTATTGGAAATTTCATTATGTAAACTTGTAAAATTCAAATGAGGAGGATATAATTTCTCTGGAATTTTCAACCTTTTTTACAATTTTTAAGTATCAGTATGCATTTTACCATGTATGAAAAATCTCGAGAAAAAAATTGCACTCATGAACGAAATTACATTTTTGACCAACATGGGGGTTAAACAAAATCTCTAAAATCAAACAATTATTTTAATGTACCAGGCTGTGATTTTTTCAACTTTGACTGTTCCTCATTTACACCTCTTTGTGACACATGGTGATGTGCCAATACTCAACAAGTATTATTCAAGGCACTCTAACATTAGTTCTCTTCTCATCCAGCAGATGGCTTTTTGTTTACTTTTTAGTAATCGCTGCTTTGCAGGAAAAATTCTATTGTTTAATCATTATGAAAAAATTAACGTTATACAAACCTCTTTTTTTTAAGAAAAAAAATAGGATCAGGGAAATGATTCTTGAAATTTAGTGGCAACCCTGTTAAACTAAAGCGTACTTGATTCCCAGAAAGGAGGAAAGTACGCACGCGCCTTGGCCGAATTCTGGCTTTCTTCTCCTGCAAGGAGCGCAGACGGAGTCGACTGCGACACCAGCAGTGCTGTTATACTCTTACCCCAGATGAGGGAACAGAAAACATGATGACAGAGGATCAGTGTTGCCAAGGTGAAGTGAAACTTTCTCTATGGCGGCATGAAGGCAATACCGTATGCAATTGTCTTTTTTTGGGGACATAAGTTAACCACTTAATAATTGTAACTACATAACTAACTACGGCTACAATAAGTGTGTTTTTAAGAGAATGAGACATCAATGCTTTTGTTAAATTCACCAGAAGAAACAAGCAGAAGCAATTGGACGTCCTTGGAGACACATTTCTTGTCTTCTTTTTACTTTTGGACTGCAATGAAAGATTTACCATCTTGAGTTTTGCATATCGATGGTGAAACTATCAAACCACGTATCTCACTTGCAGTGTTTAAAATTCTCTGCATCTAGTTTTTTTTTTTTTTTTTTTTTTTTTTTTTTTTTAAGGGAGAACAAATGAACATCATTCCTTGAAGTTTTCTCAAAATTTGCTTCTACATTTATGAATTGGCATCAAGTATTTTTACACATAAAAAAGAAAGTATGACAGGAAGTTTGCAACCCAGCAAACCGAGATGCGTGGTTGGGGAGTTTGACTGTTGATGCAGTTGGTTCCTAGTCAGAAATTAATAGTGTTGATCCTTCATTGTAGATCCTTTGTACATATCACCAAACTTAATTGACCTCAGAGGATGTTCAAGCAACTTTTAATGTGCATTTCCAGGTTATTTACTCCTCCACTCTTCCAGAAATGCACCTTTCTTTGCGTATTGTGCACTCACCTCATAAATTATGTAACACTTGACAAACTATAGCCTCCTTTCTCTTCCACGCTTCGGGTTTTTCTGAGAATTTAAGGCCAAAATTGTGTTTTCTCCCAAGAAAATGTTGTAATTTTTAAAGCTGGATCCTTTCATGATTCAGGGCTTTTGCACCCCTTTGTGGCTCTCATAGACTCCTGTCACCCTTGGATGTGTCATATGACAAGTGAATACTCCTTAACTTCTAAAAGTGACCAAGAACAAAATTACATATTTAGTTTACGGCTACTCATAATGAAATCAAATCAAATATTGATGTTAGCTCAGTGATCGGCTAATAGCTCAGTATTTGATTTGATTTCAAAATGAGCAAATACAGAGTTGTCTTCGGTCAATTTTGAATTGCTTTTTAATGCGTGGTGCAGGAACTGAACTATTTTCATTGGTCATGGTTGAGGGCAATTCAAGTTCATGTCATGCACAATTGAACTTTTTCTTTATAAAGGGCCTATGTCTGAAACAATTTTTAGCGTTGGTATGTAACTTTTCAAGATTGTCAGAGATTTTGTGTTTTTGGGGCTTGAGCCCTTTTGAATCGGAACCAACAATCAGCAAATTTATTTTGCGAAAAACTGGCAGGTTGCAGAAAAAAAGTCGTCATGATGTTTGAAATCAGCCGCAGAAAAATAGGAAGAGAAAGTTATGCAGTCTCATTACAAATCAGATTGCCAAATTTTCTTTGAAATTCCAAAATCTGTAGACTCGTACAGCAGCTGAAGAGACATAATTCAAATTAAAGTACTCATAGTTTGATTTTCTTTGTATTAATAGGTTTTTATTCCTGGCGGAACACACAGCGAGGGTCCTGGTTCATGCAGGCTCTCTGCGAGGAATTGAAGAAGCATTGCTACAGCCTCGATCTTCTGACGATCCTGACATTCGTCAACAGGCGCGTGGCCACCGACTACCAGTCCAATGTCCCAGGTAACAACGAGATGGACGCCCAGAAACAAATTCCGTGCATCACGTACATGCTCACACGGCTACTCAAATTCAAGCCTAAATAAATTGTGCCAGTGATGTTACTCCAAAGAGTTCACAAGAGTCATGAAAAGTTAGGTTACTTTGTTTGTAGATAATAATGTTTACCTCTCCACTTTTCATTTTAATTCTTTGTCACAGATAAGTCAGAGTTGTCAACAAATGTTGTTTCGTTTTTTTATTCTTGCCATGGTATTTAGCTTCAATTTCCTCTTAGTTTTTCTTTGGACTTTCCCCTTTCTTTGTTCCTCCCGTTCAAAAATTCCGGAGAAATTTTATTTTAGAATCTATTTCACCAGCTAGTTTTTTCTAGCAGCAAGAATTTGAGGGTTTCAACCAGATAATCAGGTGTGTAGACCTCTAGAAGAGGTGAATCTACACTATTCAAAATATTTCATTACCCTAAGAATTTATTTTATTTTAATCAATGTTCAAAGAGTCCAATTTCTTTTCAGTGAATCAATTTCCAAATCATTTTGACACTCCAAGCACAGATTTTCACAATGTTCTCCTAGAATCCTAAAAAAATTATTCCACTCACCTTTCTGTGGAGCTTTTAGCTTGAAATGTTATGTATGGTATCTAATTTTAGATATATCACTCAAAACTCGCACATCTCCATAGTAGACCCTGGCATGTGACTAGCTTTTCAACATTTCAGGGCAATTTTTTTTCGGGTATTGGTTTTATGACTCTTGTTTACTCTTTTTTTTACCCTACCTGTTTGTTTTGCATTTATTTTTTTTTCTGTAGCTAATATAATGTTTCATGTTCTCATAATTTATTTAATCATGAATCTCATGAATCATGAATTTCAGCGCTCTTAATTTTTTATGTGTGTAAAGTATCGAATCTCATTGCACGGTTCCATTTCTTGAATATTGTCGCCAAGAATCAAACAATTTTTTAATAATTGTTCCAAAAATTCTCATTCCTATTGGTTATTGATAAAATGTTTCAACTTCCTTTCTTCTCAAATAATCTAATTTGAGTCTCTAAGCTTGATTTTATCAAAGCAAATAAAGTTGGAACCCCTCCTCCCTCCCCTTCCCGTCTTTGAAAACAAATTCCTGTTTTGAACCTTTCATAAGTAAATAATAGTGTATGGTTATTTACAACTCTCCATGAGTAATATCATTCAAGAAAAGGTATCCGTGTTTTTGAATCTCAATGGAAACTTTGTTTCTAGTGTAGCGTTTTCTCTGTGACATTATTTTTCAAATAGGGTTTCAGACGTTCACAGTCTACTCTGTCCATTACAGTGAGGTAAACGGCTTTAATGCCGATGCAGAACGATTTGGTTTTATTTCATTGCAAGCTTTCAATAAGTCAAAGTAAAGTTTTAGTCAATTTTTATTCCTAACTATAGAACGTTAAAATTAAAATAGGAGGAAGTCACTTAATTCAACAAGATCACAGCCTCTATTTTGACTTTTCCCCCAAAAACTCAGTAATGAAGCTTTAACGAAAGGTGATTTTATTTCTCTGTATACTATGTAAATTACTTAATTAGTTTTACTTTTAATAGACTCATTTTTTCCGTGTGACTTTTTTTCGCGCATTGACATATTTTTGAAAGCTTCTCTTTTCTGAGCTTTCATCTTACTTCTCATTGGAATCGAGAACTCTTTAGACTAATTATAAAATCATTGAGCTACTGTGATAAGCCATGGATTTACATCTAAAAATTTTAAACGGCTTCACTCTGTATTGGAAGTGATAAATATTGCATTTGTTTAGTATTCAAAGTGATAGAGATTATTTTGATACTTTACTGAAGATGTGATTTTCACAAACTCTAAGTAGACTGCGAATCTAGACAATTTTTTTTGTTTTTTTTTTTACTTTAGTCGAAATAGAATATCTGACTATTTTGTGATTGTTAAAGCCTCTGTCATAGCTTTACATGTTCATGCTTTGATTTGTGGATTTTCAATTTTCGCAATTTTAAACAAACTTCTTGTTTTGTTTATATGTCCCGGTATCCTCATAGAACCCACCCATGATGTGATGTTATCCATTTGTTATGTATCTCTGGATCATATATTTTAAATTCCAAGAACAAATTATTTTTTAAAATCGATTAAAGGGGAAAAAAGGAAATAATTTTTTTCAAATGACGTTCCATTATTTCATCATATAATCTTGATGTTTATCACCCGATATGATCAAATAATTGCAACTCAACAAGTGTGTTTCTCATTCTAACATTAAGCCATGTAACCGAATCTCTGAACATTCCTTTAATTGTAAATTTCAAGTATGAACTGTGTCTTTCATTCAAAAGGCTTATTTTTTTACCCTCTGTTTTTTCTTAGCTAAGCTGTTGCTTCAACTGCCAATTTAGACAATTCTCTTCAACTCTCAGTTATTTTAGGCCACTTGATATTCGAATAGTTTATTTTTTTCATCCGTTTTTGCTGACAAAAGTTGTAACTGTTCATCAAATGGTAAAATCAATAGGAAGGAATCTGAATTACTAATACTAATTAGCCACTTTCGAAATTCATCCGTGAGGATCAGTATGATTTTTTGTCGTTGCTCTTGAGCCATCTCAGAGGCTTTTTTGACTGCTTTTGAACATGCCTATGAATAACTGACAATTAAAAACAGAACTGAAACTGGAACTTCACTTTGATACTTCTCTGTACTACACCAATTGACTACCCTCCACGATGGCGGTTGTACGGTCAAAGATTCCGAACTTTAATTAACGCACAAAATTTTTTTAATATATGTTCTTTTTTACGTAAGAGCACCTTTTTTTTTTTTACAGTCAAATAATTTACTGAGTGATAAATAACAATGAAGATTGTTTTGAAATCTGAGGAACAATATGATGTTAATTGTATTCGTTGAATAATGACTCCTTCGCAAATGACCTAGAATATTTCTTTTATTTATCTTTCTTAATATTTATTTATTTTTTTTATACACTTTTTTTTGGAAAAAACATTTGACCTACTGAATACTCACAACTATTTTTTTAGTGTACACTTTGCGTCCACCACTGGTCTGGTCTGCAAATGAATTTTCAATTTTGTCAATCATGGTGGTTCAGTTAGCAGCCCACACAGGTTTTTTTTTTTTTTTTTTTTTTTTTTCCAAGTTAAGAGAGAGTTGTTTAGGATACAATATAATAAGGAAGAATTAGCAACAGTATATTCGCCTTTCGGCCTTGCTGAAAAATTATTTTGAAATGTGATAAAAATGCGCCTTGTTCTAAAAAGTAGGTCCAAAACCTTAGCTTTCAGTTCATCGATTTTGATAAATGTAACTGATTTGAGGTATTGCCACCCTTAAATCTAGAATGGAAACTATTGAGTGCCACTTTTATATTCATACACATTTTATTTTAAAACCTCCAACTACCAAGTCTTTCAACCTTAATGTGATAGGTTTACAAGTTGTACTTTTTTATACTATACTGAAATTTTTCTCCCCTTTTTTTCTTCAAAGATTTGAAGTGTAAGAGTGAAGGCTTCTATTTGTATAGAGTATAGCAGGTCACAAATGTAAATTAGCTGATAAGTGTTTTCTAATTTGAACATTTGCTTTGATTAGTTACAACTCTTTCACAGTCGCTTTAATTCACAAAAAATGACAGAAATGGACGCAAAATGCCTCTGTATTATTTCCTAAAGCTTTATTTAAGTTTTACATGTTTAAAACCTGTAGGTTTTCATAGATCAAAGAGGAGTAATAGCATGAATTCATGGTGTCTTGAATCTGGAAAAAACTGGTAACTTCCGGATTCACCAAGGAAGAAAATATTTCTGGGCAAATCAGGGGACTTGCCAGGGAATTGATGCTAAAAACCGGGAATTTCTTCACTCTCTGCTCTAAAATCAAATAATACTTCAAATTGCTGCATGAATTGTTCTTTTTCCTCTTAAATCCCCCCCTTCCCCTCCAATCCTCATAAATTGCACACTAGCAGTTCCTGATAGTTGCCAAATTGAATCAAAATCCAGAATTTTTGCTCCTGTGAATAGTAACTGATAAAATAGTGAAACCTTTTTTTTTTTATACTTAAAGCCAATCGAATACAGTCCTACGGATGTACCTAATTTCACTACTTCATACAAACTGACATATGTAATAGTTTTATTCTTTATACATACTATTTTCTGAAATTTTCATTATGTTTATCTGTGTTTTTAAAATAGTTTATTTGCCCGTAGATTACTTTCATGCATTTAAAAAAAAATGATGAGTCATTGTAACTTGAATCAACAAATTATTTCTCCTAATAAACAATAACTGATCAATGATCACAGTCTAATTTTGGTTTCTTTCTGCATCTTAGCAAATCCCAGGCCCTCTGTTCTGTAGTTAAGAATGAGACACAAATCAAAGAAGACACAAAGAGAGGGTAGTTCTTAGCTCAAAAATGGTCAAAAATTTTAAGTGCTCCGAAAATGTCTTACTCCACAAATTACACTTTCTACTTTCATTATTCTAAGACTATATTTGGGCCTTAAAGTTTTATTTTGTGGCAAAGGTTTTGGGATAAGCGTTTTAAGTTAAGTCTCCTACTTTTGCTGTCCAAAAGTAAGAATATTATAATTTTTGGTGTACATCTATACTAATTTGATAATGAGGAAAAAGATGCCAGATGATAATTTTGAGGCAAATGCATATCAATAGCCAAAGTGCAAAACTACGTAACTCGTTTGCAGTGTTATAAAATCTCCGCTCCCATCTTGTTTTTTTTCAAGGAGAAAAAATCAACATGATTCCGAGAATATTTCGCACAGAGAAAATAATTCACAGAAGTTTTCCAGGAATTACGTAGGCTAGTGTTGGCAAGGAAAAACAAAGTATGACAGGAAGTCTGCAACATCGCATACACAGACACGTGGTTTCGCTTTTGGCCATCAATATGTGATCACCAAGGGGGGAGGAATGCACTTAGGTTGCATAGCTTCATTCGCACTCATTGAAAAGGCGGATCCAGCAATTTGGCAACACCGACTTTCCTCCATTTAAACCTATGTTAAGTAATCGATTCTTGACAGAGCACCTGGCCCCTCCAAGAATCGATACATTTCCATAGGTTTAAACAGTGAAAAGACAATGTTGCCAATTTGCTGGATCCGCCACGCTTTCTTCGCCGACGGAAGTGGCACGACGGCTTGCTGCTGATGAACTGATTTCTGAAAATTAGTTCATGGACATACATTTTTGCGTGTTCTCACGTGATTAGGATAGCCCCTCCCCCCCCGCCCCCCCATAAAGTTCTTGGAAATCCCCCTCCCCTGCAACTGTGTCACATTCGCAGGCATAACGCGTCGCAGTCACTGCAGATAGCGTTTTTTGCCTTTCAAAGTTACAGGCAAAGCACAAATACGTACCGTTAAAGTTACGTATGTAAATGTACCCCGGATGCAAATTCTTGTGTCATTTTACGTAATTACTACAATTTTTCCTTAAAAAGTACTTACAACCCCTTTTTCGCAACAACATTGCCACATTCAAAGTTGATCCAGCTGAGTTGATAGAAGATTACGTGGCGAACTCTTTCTCTAACAACGTAAAGTATTCTTATATCTAAAAGAAAGCACCATTTCTTGATAATATACGAGTCATTTGATAAGGCATCTTGTTAATCTCCTTGCGAACCTTTAAGGCCAGAAAAAACTAGTTCTACTGTTGAACTAAGTACCTATACTCACAGTCAGCTTTAAATTAAATCTAAAGTTTTTTTTTTTTTTTTTTTTTTCTTCTCTTAGAATCGAATCAAAATGCAGAGTTCACTGCAGAGAATTTAACACAGCCTAGAAAATTAGGCGTTTGCGTCGGCAGTTGCTGGACGCATCGAAACTTCAGATCAAGCCGAATCCCATGAGAGATCGCCATGCAGATCATAGATGGCAAAATGCAGGGATCGCCTCAGAGTTCAGAGACTTTAACGCTACGATGAAAAGTAGGCGCACCTGCAAAGTAGGTTCTGTTCTATCGAATCAAACCCCTATTTGCGTAACTCACTTTACCATTGCGTCAATGTTAAACAAGTTAAATACATTTCAACGAGGTTAATGGTCTAAAATTTAGATAAAAAAAATCCAACATTCATAAGTTCGGAACAAATAATTATTCTAAAAGAAGTTCCAATCAATCCTCTCCAAACACCAAAGATTAAAGTTGAACGTCTAAAATCCTCGCGTTGGGTCCTCTCAGATCTCTCAGATCTCAGAACTACTTTAGACCAAGTTTCACAAAAATCGATCGAATAAGAGCCGCATATCGTAGGATAAATAGGACTCTGCACAGTGGTAAACGGTACCAGTCAATTTTCATACGTATGTACGCCTTCATTTTCGCTTGATACTGTGCAATACCTCCGTGGCGAAATAGTTGCTCAGAGCGCCTTCGACAGTGTCGCCTCGACTTGATTGCGGAAGATCACGATTACCGCTGAAATTACACTCTAGCGCATGCGCAGTTACACCTTTTCTCACCGACGGCGAGGTGAAACGCATATTCATACCTCAATTTGCGACGTTGCAAGTTTTTCACTGCCTATTTTATGTGGCTGAACCAAAGTAAACACTCTCAAGTCCGCCGTGATTTTTCCACGATTTGCAACTTAACCGTTATATAATCGTTATGAATGGTATACTTTCGTCAAATACTCATTATACAGGGTGATCCAAAAGTCCCTTCCACCCCCTTCAACTTTTTACCTAATTGAGATAAAAATTTGAAACTTGGGGAATATTCCTAGGTCAAAGGGAGCTACTTTTTGGCCTCCCTAAAATTTTCAGGGGGGCTCCCCTTTGGGGGGCAACGGCCCCCAACTTGCAATTTTCAAATAGGAAGACCCCCTTTGTGATAGCTCGTTCAAAAGAGCATAAAAAAAGAAAACTTTTCGCGCAAACCCGAAGTCAATATCTCAAACCGTTTCAAAATGGCGGCCGGTTAAAGTTCAAAATGGCCGAAATTTCACACCGGTTATTTGTCGATGGATTTGCGCGAAAATCGGTATGAAGGGGTATTTTGACACGAGCGAAACGAATTTGACGTTAGATTTTCAAAAAAACCAAAATTTCCAAAATGGCCGCCGGTTAAAGTTTAAAATGGCCGAAAATTTTCACCTTGGTTTTTTCCTGATGGATTTGCCTAAAACTTGAAATTTGAGAGTATTTTGGCACAAGATAAACAAATTTGAACTTAGATTTCTAAAAAAATAAATTTTTGGTCATTTTGAACTTTAACCGGCGGCCATTTTGGAAATTTCGGTTTTTTGAAAATCTAACGTCAAATTCGTTTTTCTCGTGTCAAAATACCCCTTCATACCGATTTTCGCGCAAATCCATCGACAAATAACCGGTGTGAAATTTCGGCCATTTTGAACTTTAACCGGCCGCCATTTTGAAACGGTTTGAGATATTGACTTCGGATTTGCGCGAAAAGTTTTCTTTTTTTATGCTCTTTCGAACGAGCTATCACAAAGGGGGTCTTCCCATTTGAAAATTAAAAGTTGGGGGCCGTTGCCCCCCCCCAAGGAGGGCCCCCCTGAAAATTTTAGGGGGGCCGAAAAGTAGCTCCCTTTGACCTAGGAATATCCCCCAAGTTTCAAATCTTTATCTCAATTAGGTAAAAAGTTAGAGGGGGTGGAAGGGACTTTTGGATCACCCTGTAATTTCATCAAATTTTTTTTAACATAAATCTGCTACTAGGGATGACAGGAAGTCTGCGACGTCGCAAACCGATTTATTTGATCGCCGATGTACATCGTCGATATGTTTCTCTACTGTTGTTAATGTTTGATTTGCTGGATTCATAACGTGAATTCTCGTAAAATTTCTCTGCTGGAAGCCTAAAAGTTTAAAC